GTTTTTATGCTTATTGAAGCCTTTAGTAGAAGAGAAAGGAAATAGAAAAATTTCTTGCCACTTTGGTTTACTAATAACTGCTTTTGGTTGTTGTTGTTGTTCCATGAGATGGAGGTAAAGCAGTTCAATATCTTCACTCCCACCATCCAGTACTGGGAATCAAACCCAGGGGTGCTTTCCACTGAGCTATGTCTCCAGCTCTTTTGTTTTTTATTTTGATACAGAGTCTCATTAAGTTGCCAGGGTTGGCCTCAAACTTGCAGTCCTGCTTCAGCCTCCTTCAGGTGTGTGCCACTGCACCTAACTGATATCACCACTTTTTAAATTAGTTAAACAGAGGGTCTGTTATCCCTACTTTTTAAGTGAGTGTAAGAGTTATAATCTAGGTCATGTGACAGGACAAAGAACTCAACCCCAGTATTGTGATTCTTTGTCTAGCGTTCTTATGGCTACATATTCTGAATTTATACTTTATTCATTGAATTTAATCCTCCTTTTATTTAAAAAAAAAGCATACTTTCAAAGTGGATTTATAGTATATATACAGGTAAGCCTCCAAGAAAAGCTCTGTCAAGGAGGCAGAACCTGTGAATGTAGTAGGTGGAGCTCTGAGCAAATAAAAGTCTCATTTTGCTTGCTCAGGAATCTGTTGGTGTTGGAGGAGAAGCAGAAGCAACAGTAGCAGAATAGTTTTCCTGCCGTTCAGCATGTAGTTTTTGTCTATAAGGCCAATCTAAATAAATAAATTGTTGACTGAGCAGAGCGAACTCATGTCTGAGAGTTGGGGAAACATGGCTGTTAAACAAGAAACTATGCTTCAGTTTGACTTTGCCGTTTGCCCTCCTTATGCTGTGGGCTAAGTGACTGTTAATTTACATCTTATCCATTTCCTCCTCATTTTTCTGTAACTGTAACAAGTCTGTTTTGCCTTTTCTGATGGATTTTACAAAGAAAGACTTTTTCTCAGTATTTGTCATCGTAAATTCTCATTGCTGCTGCTGCCCTCAAAAGGATTGTGTAAGTGAGGTGGGTAAGAATTTCCAAACTATATAAAGGGCATATTGTGGTCTCTTTGATGATATGTGTAGAAAGTTTTAGTTAGAATACTGAAATTGTTAACTTCAGAATACTTTTAAAAATACTTAATGTTCTTTGAATGGTTAGGAAAAGTTTTACTTTAATCAAGAGATACTAAATATTATATAACATATTTGAAACTTAAGCTTTTGATAACATTTATCTTATATCAATTCTTTATGTACCCTTGATGGGGGTCACAGTTGTTCATTATTTTAATACTCCATTTAATGTGCAGAAGTTACCTTCTTTTTATTTAAAGAGTAAATAATTTTATGTCAGCTGAAAATATCTCAAGTGTGTATGCATTAGATATTCAATACATACTTATTTAATGAAGAGAGATAAGCTACTGACCCTGTTCCCTGTACCCCATCCCCCAAAACAAAAGACATTGCTGCCTAAAGAGAGATCCTGTTTAGATTTCAAAAGTAAGACAAGAGTCTTACTTAGAATGCTGACTTAGAATGTGTCCCTAGTAAAGTTTAGTAGTTTTATTCTATATAAGATTAGCCCAATTTATGTACCTTAGTATTCTTTCCAGTTTGTGTTTTCTAGTCTCATTCAGAATAGGTGGGTGATAGTTTGCTTTTACTGGTTAGAACAGTAAAATAAATTGGGATTTTAAAAGGAGGGGAGTGGCATTTGGAGGATTGTGGGGATTTAAACTTATCTTTGTTGAAGTACATAAAGTAAAAGGAAATAAAATGAAATTTTTATCATAAAAATATTTTGTTTTTATTGGCTTGTTCTTTCCAGTGTTTCAAATCATGTTTTAGAATAAAATCAACAAACCTGGCATGGTGATGCACTCCTATAGTTCTAGCAATTCAGAAGGCTGAGGCAAAAGGATCATAAGTTGGGCAATTTAGCAAAACCCTATTTCCGTAAATAAAAAGAACTAGGGATGTAGCTTAGTGGTAAAGTGGTTTCAATCACTAATACCTAAATAAATAAACTAGATCAACTTTTTTTAAAAAAATCATCAGTTATTAAAAATTCATGAAGTTCTCCTTTCTTCAGAAAAAGTATGATGATTATACAAAAAAATGTTATTGTATCTTTTTTTTAATATTTATTTTTTAGTTGTAGGTGGACCTACAACTATCTTTACTTTATTTTTATGTGGTGCTGAGGTTTGAACCCAAAGCTTTACATGTGCTAGGTGAGCACTCTGTCATTGATCCACAACCCCAGCCCTTGTATTATATCTGTATTTTCATCTTTCTGTTTTATTTTGTATAGTTCACTTCAGGGTCAGTGAAGTGTAGTATTCATTCTATACATTTTTCTTGAACATCTTTTAATATGCAATTTATAAACTCTTGCTTATAAAATTATTCAAAAAACCTCTTCTAAGTTACTTACAATCCTGGTTTCTTGGTGGTAGCTGACTGGTAAAATTTTTTGTTAGATTTTTCAGTATCTTAAGTGGGTTGGAATAAGCAGTCTTAATATTTTTTTAAGGAAACAATAGCATCTAAATGTGTTGTAAAGCATTGGTGTGGAATGGTCTATACTTAAATTGTGCTAGAGGCAAAAAAAAAAGCATAAAACTCTTAGATTTGAGGTTATATTATGCAGTTATTGTTTTTTGCTTATCTTCTACATATTGTATTTAACTAGGATTCCTATTTGTAAATAGAAGTTTCTGTTTGTAAAGACATAAATATGTTTAAATGAATAGAGTTAACAAGAGGGTTATTTATTATTTAGGATAATCAAAGATAAAAACAGGTTCAAGAGAATTTTTACTTCCTTTTAACCTTAAGTAAATCATCTTATCTTTGCTGATTGCCTTTAAACTCAAAGGTGGCATTGGGTCAGCAAATTTAATAATTCAAAGAACTTTCAACCTACATATGACTTTGGGTTCCTGCTTCTGTTAATTTAGATAGGTATGGTGGGCAGATAGTGTGGCCATTTTTAGGACTATTTCTGCATGTTCATTTCATACTAAAGTCTTCTGTTGTTAATTTATTTTGTCTTTCCAACCTGCCTGTGCTAGAATGAAACAGAAGAATTGGTATAACTTTGCTTTATTAAATTAATATGTTGAATTTTATTGTCGGTAGGCCAAATACATTCCCCTGAAATGTATGTGCTTATGGACGAATGGAAGACTTTTCCTCATCAGAGTCTATATTTTCTTAAGCCACTTTTTAAACTCTTTACATGCAAAGTTGAACTGTGTGCGATAGTCATTAAAAAACATGAAAACAAAATACCACCCCCCCCACCCCACCCCTGCTACCAAAGAACTTTTAGATGGACCTTTCCTAAGAAGGAAAGTTAATAAGTTTGAAATACCAGGTTTGGTTTCTTAAAGCAGCCTTTAACTTCAGGAGCATACTTTTTTGTTTTCCTTAGAATTATGCTACAATATGTACAATTTGGAAAAAATTACGAGCTGAATTTGGAAATAAAATTGAAGAAAATGCAAATAGTGATCTTTGTAGTCAATCTCAGAACCAGACTTTTTAGATACATGAATTTAACTAACTTTATGATCAGCTCTACTACAGTTCCTTGGTGTGAAAAGTTAGCCCTAGAGGTAAAATTCTTCAAATTAGGACTTTGGGATAACAGTGGATTATTGATGAGAATTACACAACTTTAGATACAACTTTGGTATTTAAGGACTTCAGCACTAACCATTTGGTGTATGGTTCCAGTAGATGCCTTGAACTGCTCATAGCATAGAACCCTATATATACTCACGCTTTTTCATACATACCTATGATAAAGTTTAATAAATTAGGCAAGCAAAAGATTAATAAAAACTAATAAATAGAACAATTTAACTATGCTCTAATAAAAGTTTAATGAATGTGATCTCTCAAAAGATCAAGATAGTATTTTCAGATTGTAGTGGATTTTATGTATCAAAGTGAAAAGACAAAGCCATGGAAAAGGGATACAATTGTATTTCATTTAGATTGAGCGATTATGTGTATTTCTGTGATTTACTAGATCCTAATTTTGTTATACTATGTTTGTCCCTGAAATTATACAGATGATTAGAATTTATGCATATTCAGTAAGCTTTTCTAAACATTCCCATTTAGGTTATCTATGTATTTATAGACTTACAGCACTGTTTAGTGTAGCTACTTTAACTCATGATTTATGTAGTTGCTAGGATGAAATGGGAGCAAATAATGAGATATTTTTCCCCCTTCACCCCATTGCTCAGAGAGTAGTCTTTTGTTCTTAGTATCTTAGATGTATCTTCCATATAATGCTGAAGGCTTTATTTTCAAAGAACTTATACTTTAGGAAAGTTCTAAACTATTACTATGATACTACTCATTATAATATTTACATAGAAGAGTAGTAGTGAATTTCTTCTAAAACTAATTACAATGCTTATCTTTCTTGTGGATCAGATATATTACTTTTCAACTTTATATTTTACTTACGCAAGACAGTTTGCTCTTTACTTATGTCAAACCAAGACAAACCATAACTCCTTTTAAACTAGTTATTTTTAAAAAGAGTACTATAATAATATAATACCTGCCAAGACTATGTGAAATCATATACAAATGCATGTTCAGTGTTCAAAATAATTAAATACTGTATAGAGTCATGATAGCCTGCAAGATTGAACAAAACATCTAACCAGTTGGAACACTTAGCTTTCTTTTTAGCCAGTAATTTCCTTTACCCAAAGAAAAAGATGCTATTCTAGCCTAAATTCTTTCATTGCCACATAAAAAGTAAGTAAATGCACTCTCAAAACTTTCTTGTTGTTTTCTTCTGAGTAGCTAAATTGCCCACCTTTTTCCTGTAGGCAAATCAGAAAAAAAGCCAGGATGGTAAGAGGGCAACCTAGTAGAATTTAAGTGGAAATTTTAAAACAAAATTCAAGGACCCTGCTGTCATTAATGTGTTTCTATGGCAATTTATATGGTTTTCAGGGAGTGAAGCCAGCCAGTTTTGACAAAGTAGCAATTCCTGAAGTGAAGGAAATCATCGAAGGATGTATACGGCAAAACAAAGATGAACGGTAAGATTAGGTGTTGTTTAAACAGACAACTAAAACATAATGTTCTGATTATAAAACTTAATCTGAAGTGTATTTAATTCTTAGGATTAGTTTTTCCATTTATGCCATATAACCCTTTTTAAGATAGGGTTCTTTTTATTTAAGCTATTCAAATTCAATATGCTAGAACAGTTTACAAATACAAACCAGGCTTAGTGGCACAGACCTGTAATCCCACCAAATCCAGAGGCTAAGGCAGGATCACAAGTTCCAGGCCAGGGCAACTTAGTGAAATCCTGTCTCAATGTAAAATTTAAAGGGGCTGGAGGTGAAGCGCTTGCCTAGCATGAGCAAGTTCCTGGGTTAAGTCCCTAATGTTGCCAAAAACAAACAAAGGTTTAGTGGAGTTTTTAAGTAAATCAGAATCACCTTAAACATAGTTTAAACATTCTGTTAGAGTCACTTATAGCAAATAACTATACTGTACTAATGCAGCAAATCTGTTCCTTAGTCCTTTATCCATTGAATTCTAAACGATATAGAACAAAGACTTGGCACTTTAAAATCAACTCAACTATGCAGTGCTTGATTTCTTGGTATTGTGCCAGAAATAAAGAAGAGCAAAACATCAGAATTCCTTTGAGTAAAAAGAGAAGACTTTACTAAAGGCTTAAGAGGACATCTACCTTAGTCATTTATACTAACATAGGACTTTTCTCAGAGGAGTGGCAAGTATCTAATCTCCCATGTAGCTGATTCATCACCCAGTAGGTATGACAAGGGTCCAATATCTGTTTTTGAAAACTGATCTACCTTCATTGTCTCTCCATACCCACCAAAAAAGAAAAAGTATGCCAGCCTAAGACAAATATCAATTGTAAATTGAACATAATCTACCTCCTGAAGAATGGGAGCAGTCGGGTAAATCAACCAAATTAAAGAATTCCATATCTTTACTTTTCTAGTCTTATTTTCTTTTTTATAACTTTGTTATTTGAAAGAATTTAACATGATCTTTAATACATTTTAATAGATATTTAGTTTAAGTTTCTGTTTTCATATTCACTGAGTCCTAAAATCTCTTTTAAGACCTTTTCAATATAAACAAAGAAATATTTGTTTCGAATCTTAAAACATATTACTCTATGTCTTTTCTGAATGGACTAGTTTATTGGATTACTGGTATTTGGAAACCATTTTATCTAAAGAAAATTGTTTCACAATCAGCTTTCTTGCTTGCCTAGTCCAAAATTATTGAACAAGAAATTGGAAGAATTTGTTGAATAGGTAAAAAGTTGCTATAGTCAAAGGTACCAAACTGGAAATCAGAGAATTTTATTCTGGTTTTGATTATATCATTTACAACTTCTAGAACTGTGAGCAAGATTCTCAACTTCTGAGCCTTCATTTCTAATTGTCAGGAGATAATCTCTTATTGGATATTGGGCAAGGTTCTACAAAGGATTTTTTATTACTTATAAAATACTATATACATTGTTATTGATATTTTGAACCTTTGATATTCTGTGCATTATTTGCCACTGCCAGTATACTGTAACCAAAGGGGTTAGATAATTTGATTTTAAAATGATCACTCTCAGTTCTTTTGTTTATAAATCAGATTGTTATGATGTCTTATCATTTAAGAGTACAAATCTGTAATCACCATTCAAATAGACTAATGAAGAAATGCATTATTAACCTTGGTTTTCTATTCAGTTTTTTTCTTATAAACAACAATAATCAGCCACATTTGAAAATTATTTTTTAAAATTAATGACATTCTGTTTTTCTTTGTTTTCTTTCTTTCTTTTTTTTTTTCCTTTGGAAGATATTCCATCAAAGACCTCTTGAACCATGCCTTCTTCCAGGAGGAAACAGGGGTACGGGTAGAATTAGCAGAAGAAGATGATGGAGAAAAAATAGCTATTAAATTATGGCTGCGTATTGAGGATATTAAGAAATTAAAGGGCAAGTACAAAGACAATGAAGCTATCGAGTTTTCCTTTGACTTGGAGAGAGATGTACCAGAAGATGTTGCTCAAGAAATGGTAAATTGGCGCTGATTGGCCATTTAAAAGTTAATGTAGATTTATATAAAGCAGTTTATGGAGTGTCATATGTGACGTATCTCATTAACATAAAATTATTTTGGCCCCAAATGCTATCTTTGAAATAATAGGATTTTCCTGTGATTTTTTTTTTCTTTAAATCCCTTTTTTGTACTTTTTGTGTTGTTACTGGTAATGGGTGTTGAACTTTATAGTCCTTTTTTAAAAAGACTTTTTTATTTGAGGAAATTAGAGATGGATAAGAAAGAATGAACTAGAATATATTCTGAAGTCTATAAAGTTGAATGACTTCTAATTTGTTTAAGATCCTTCAGTTAGAATGAAAGTTATGTTTCTAAATATTGGATCAGTCATTAGATAAACCTTTACAAATAGACATAGGATTATAAACCATTTTTTGTTTTGAAAATAGTTTTCAAGATCAGTTGTTAATAGGTATCCTGTGGTTGTATCCTTATTTGAAGTATGTCAAAAAGACTACTTTTCCAAGTAGAAACCCTTCAATTGAGGCTTGCTGCTTTGCCTAATGTCAGCAATTATCATGCAAAGAAACTCAATAAAATTTTTCTACTAGTGTTTGTAAGCATCTTTCAGTAGTAGTTACCTCTGAGAAAAGGAGTCAGTATGAAAGAGACACTTAAGAGCTTTTTGGTCTTTTGAAAACCTTTAAATATTTGCCACATTTGTTTTATCTGTATAAGTGGTTGTCAGGTGAAAGGAAATAATAGCAACACGGGTTAATAATTATTATATGTGAAATGGTAGTAGTGAATGGAAATGAATACCATACTTGTTTATTTTCCTCATTATTTTAATTATTGTAAGTACACCCACCTGTGAATTTCTACAAAGATGGTACATATTCTTTGAGTATGTACCATGATGGTAGGGGATGTATACTGCAGATCAGTCATTTCACATTTTGTTTAAGACTAGTACTGTAATTCTTTCTCCTTCTTATCCACTTTTCTACATCACATATTTCATTTTATTTTGAGGTTGTTTTCTTTTGATAGCCTGTTTTTCTCTAACACCCTTTTTTTCTCTGCAGGTAGAATCTGGGTATGTCTGTGAAGGTGATCATAAGACCATGGCTAAAGCTATCAAAGACAGAGTGTCATTAATTAAGAGAAAACGAGAGCAGCGGCAGTTGGTTCGAGAAGAGCAAGAAAAGAGAAAACAGGAGGAGAGCAGTCTCAGACAGCAGGCTGAACAACAATCAAGTGTTCCTTCCCAGACAGGAATCAAGCAGGTCCCTTCTGCTAGCACTGGTATAACTACTGCTTCTGCCACTTCAGCTTCAGTATCTACACAAGTAGAACCTGAAGAGCCTGAGGCAGATCAACATCAACAACTACAGTACCAGCAACCTAGTATATCTGTATTATGTAAGTATTTTGGAAAGCACACAAGATATACTAATGATGCTCCTAATTGACTCTACCCCCATCTCTACCCCAGCAGCAAACCCTCCCATGTTGGAGATCAAACCCAAGGCCTCATGCATGTTAGGCAAGCTCTACCACTGAGCTATTCCCAGCTCCTGACTTTTTATCTTTAAGGTAGTTGTCATTTAGCTTCTCTTTTTATTTTTATGACTATGACTAATGGAATAGGATGGACATTGAGAAGATTGATTAGGGTATAAAATAATTTTAAAAGTTTCATTATTTTGGAGGTTCTAATTTCTAGATTTCCATATTTCAGTTTCTTAAAAAATTAAATTAATGAAGAATGAACAAGTTTAGCTACTTAAAATTGTGTTCTTCTGGTATAGAGCTTTCAGGAAAGTTAAATAGCATATAGACTGAAAACTAATGAGCTCAGTAATCATTGATTGAAAATCCACAGGTCTCCATATATGAGACTGAAAATTTAGTTAATGTTCCATTTTCCCTTACTCTTCAGATAAAAGACATCAGAACTTGTCTTCCATATGGGTCTCATAAATTCAGAAGTTTACATAAAACTATGACTGCTATTCATTTTTTAATCTAGTGACGATTTCTGGAAACAGCCAATTCATTGTAATATGGTGAGACTAAAATGTGATAGGAAAAATTTGACCCTCCTTTTTATAATTTGTCTTTCTGTCTGTTTTTTGGTGATGTCTCACCTTCAGCTGATGGGACAGTTGACAGTGGTCAAGGATCTTCCGTCTTCACAGAATCTCGAGTGAGCAGTCAACAGACAGTTTCATATGGTTCCCAACATGAACAGGCACATTCTACTGGCACAGTACCAGGGCATACAGCTTCCATTGCCCAAGCACAGTCTCAGACCCATGGAGTATACCCACCCTCAAGTATGGTAAGTAAATGCATAAGAGAGAGTAATACTATAATGAAAGCCTGTAGAGAATCTGCTAAATTCTGAGTCTTTACTATCCAAATAGCAACTTGTCTAAAATAGAAAACATAAATGGTCTTTAGTCAGCCCTCCATTTTCATGGGTTTCAATTGGTAGGTTAACTAATTAAAATGTTTAAAAAAAAACAAAACATTTGTCTCTGTACTGGTGGGTCTTGGAACCAATCCCCTATAGATACTGAAGGATGACTCTTTTTAAAGGAAATTGGAGTAGATGAAGCAGGGTAAGATGTATACATTTATGTGTAAGAATTAGTTAAACTCCCTTCGTGAAGCATCTAGGTATAAGATTTAGTCTGCATTTGATCAAAGGCAGTATTCTCAGCATTTAAGACTTAAAGCTATTCAAAGCAGCATAAGCTAAACATACAGATGGTTTGGGGGTGGGTGATGAGAGTTTTTCAAAAGCTTCTTTATGAAAATAACTACAAAGTATTTTCTATAAGATTTCTTACTATATGAAAACAGGTAAGAATTTCAAATCATTATAGAATGTTGCATGTGAGTACTCTAGAGTAAAGGAATCCTTTGTTTATATTACCATTTAATTTAGCGCTTATGTTTAGTTACTTATCAGTTGCAATGCGTGTTCCTGCCTTTAAAGTCTGTGTTGAACACAAGTTTCTTTCCCAATGTTCATTTGCTTTTATCTTTATTTGGTATCTTGTTTTATACTGATTTATTTTCAGGATCAACTTACAGAGGGCATTTTCTAAAATAATTTATGCTTTGTGTGTGTGTATATATACACACACCATTATCCACTCTTGTTTTTCATGTAGAGAATGTTAAAGTAGCTCATCAGATAATACCCCATTTCTTTGGTTGCCTCTCTGTGAAGTCTTCAGAGAGGAAAACAAAATACATTTATCTCCCTCAAAAAGGAATTGAGTGACTGGTCATTTTATAGCACTTATTTATCAAGATCTTTAAGCAGACTGATTTTTCCCCCTTCTTAGAAAGCTTTTAATCTGAACTTTGTGGAATTCTTGCTCTTTATTAAATGAAAATCTTTCTTTGAAAACACTTCTGTTTACTCTGGTCATTTATGCTGCAGCTTGGAATAAAAGATGTTTATTTGTTTCAGTATCCATTGATCAGTCCTCTGGCTAGGTCTGAAGATGAATGGCCACAATAATGCAAAGAAAACTACTAATGTACTAACTTTTTTAATATTTTTTTTTAAATAATTAGGGTAGAAGAACTTTTAAGACTACATAGAAGATATATTTCTGTGTTCTGGCCGATATTAACTATCAGCATTTCTTATCATTTTCTACTTTTGCTCTAATTGATTTTTTTCTGAACCATAATTCACAAACAAACAAACTTCAGTCTCTTGGCTTTTCTCATCCCAGAGTTCTGAACATTGGCCTCTTTTAGACAAGGAAATGCAATAATCATTTGTAATGATATTAAGCATTTAGACACTAACATGCTTTTATTCGCTTTTCCAAATGCAGACGACTTCTTGCTTTTGAAGGACAATAGTCTATGGAAGTATTATGATGATGTATTAAGGATTTGGGACTTTTAAGAAATTTTTATAATTTTTTTCCTGTCACTTTCCAGAAAGAATTTACCCTGGCATATAAAAATGCATAAATTAAAAGTGAAATTTTAATAATTAAAAAGAGAAATAAGGATGGAAAAAAATGGAACCAGAAGTGAAACTAAATAATCATCATGATATTTACATACTTGCTACTGGTAGGCCACAAATATGGCTTAAAGCAGCCAGTTTGGGATAAGAAGATATAATTAGTTATATAGTTCACAGTATCTAAAAGAATATTTACAAACTTGCTCCAGACAACCTTACAGTGTTAGACTTATTGCTTTCTATCTATATTAAACCTTTTCTGTTAAGGTGCCTCAAAATTTGTAAACCTAAGTTGAATCTTTGATATACCCAAAAAGAATTTTTACATTATTATTTAGAAATTCAAATTGAAGATTTTTTTTTCATTAACAACTTTAGTAAAAGTTCAAATAGTTCCTATGTCCATCCAGTTGTGAATTTCCTCCTGAAAGGTATACTTTTTCTAGTTAGATGACTTTTTACCTTTGCTGAGAAAGATTGGCAAGTATACAAGTAAAATAAATATAATGTTGTAAGCCAAAAACTTTTTTAGTCTGATGCCTTCAGAAATGAGAATCCTTTTCTCAAGTTTCCACAGCTCCTGCAGAATAATCCAGACTTCAACTTTTTCAAATCTCGTGTTTTAAATTAATAGAATTCATTCTTGTCTAATCTTACTAAGTTTGCAGAAATTATAAACTGATATTGTTTTCCCTGGCTGCTGCCTTCAGTCCATCTTTCTTACTCATACATTCATAACAGTTGGTGTTATTTCATAATATTTAGGATAATAATTTCTTACTATTATTATTTATAAGAAATCTTGTACTTGACCCAACGCAATAGAGAATAGTTGTCATCTGCCCCGTGTGCTTTGTGGAGTTCTCTCTCCACTTAAAAAAAAATTGACTTTGTGGAATTGGAGAGGATGGAACATTTCCTTATGTTAACTGTTTCCCTGTTATCACTGTACATTTGGTTATTTTCTTTTTAAAGTACTGTGTTTTTCATGTGTGTTTGTTTTCTGTTTAGCCTCGTCGTGGCCGTAGCATGTCAGTTTGTGTTCCCCATCTTTCTGCTGTTCCCTTTTTATCCCGCATCTCTCCCAGTGCTCCTTCCACCCCACCACCAGTGTTGTCTGCACCTCTTTCTCCTTCCCTCCTTCGGACTGCCCCTGAGGAAACTTTTGCCGAAAAGCTTTCTAAAGCATTGGAGAGTGTCCTGCCTATGCACTCTGCCTCTCAGCGCAAGCATCGTCGCTCCAGCCTGCCTTCCCTCTTTGTCAGTACTGTATGTAATTATAAACTTTCTGACAAATGAAAAATTATTACCAATGAATACATCCAGGCATCAAGAATTTTAATAAAAATTAAATAACAGGACTAAACTATACTTTTGGTTATGTATTAGGATTTTAGGACATTAGTTATCCCCATAGGAAACATTTTTGTAATAAGGCTTTAAGGGAGAATAACAAGCAAGGAGACTATGAGACAGAATGCTAATAATATCCTTGGCATATATCAATATATGCTCAATAAAATTTAGCTTTTATTGTATTTTCTTCTCCCTCATTTACATAAAAGATTTTCATTTTCTTATCATAACAAAGGGTATGTTTGTTATTTAATTTTAAATTGTTGACTTAAACAAAAGTAAATTGTTAAATGTTACCCAATTGCATTTTCTCCTCACTTTATTCTTTCTTTTTTTTTAAATTTATTTTAGTTGTAGGTGGACATAGTATCTTTATTTTATTTATATGTGGTGCTGAGAATTGAACCTAGTGCCTCACACATGCTAGGCAAGTGCTCTACCATTGAGCTATAACCACAGCTCTCTCATTTTATTCTTAAGAGTTGCTTACTAATGAAACTGGATAAGTTTTTTTTTTTTAACCAAACTCAGTGAAGAATAATTGAGGAGAAAAGTGTTTGTTTTTAATGTGTTAAAAGAAATCTGAGTAAAAAATTAGTGAAATGATATGTCAGTAAACTAGGATTAAAAATTGTTCCCTCAGGGGAGTACTTATTTAGGGTGATTAGGGTGGGACCTTGACACCATTGAATGTTAAATTACATATGTAGTATATATGCCTTTCTTTGGCTTCACTAGTGTCTCTACAAGATCTGTCTTTTTAAATTATTTTAATTGCTGTGGGACCTTGCTGCTGCTTTTCCAGAGAATGTAGTTAACATTCTGAACTAGTAACCTGAGACTCTTCGGATTTTTACTTTGGAGAATGCATAAGTTAACAAATTTTATGACTTTGAACACCTTAATAAACATCAAGAAAATGAACATTCTGATTCAAAATAAAAATCCTCTCAGCTATTATGAACAGTTGTGCTTCTTTGCTGATAGGAGTCTTCTCTATTGAAAGAATGAGGTTGCTCTTTTATAAAAGGAATCTATGATAGTGAATTACTCTAGTATGTATTACTTGCATTGGGAAAGCTAGGATTCTAAATTTAGAGTTTTAAATACAGAACTGCTTCTGGGAACAAAAAATGCTTTAAATAAAGTTTGGCTATCAATTATATTTTCCATTTCACCTTGAATACTAGCCATCGAAATAAAAAATGCACCATATTCAGCTCTTATCAGTGATGAGAAAAGTGGAAATTTTGGTGATTTTTGCATCTGTAACTTTGGTCATGTATCAGAATTGCTAACTATGTCTAGTTTGGGGCAGATAAGAGAAAGACATTACTGTCATTGGGTTCATATTTTATTATCCACCAAAAATCTTTCTATGATTTATAGTTAAAAAAGTATGTTAGTTGATGAAAAGTAACATTGAACCCTCTAACATAGCACAGTATAAGAATATAGACTATAGAAATACTTTAATGCAATAGATTAAATTGAAGCATACTTCTTATATCTATAAAAATAGTGCCTTTAGCACTTACTGTTTAACTGTTTCCATTGACATAGTTTTTAAGTCTTTAAGAATGAACATACTATGAATACAGTAGAATAATTACTTAGAAAATTTAATTTGTTCTTTTCGATTTGAGAGAGCAAAGTTGTGGTAAAGCAGCTCTTATCTGATGCAAAGAGTCCCACAGGTTGATTTCTTTGACCCTGGATGTATTTAATGGGTTTTTACTATGCACATAGTTTCTGAAAGCAGTATTATTTATTATGTTTGATGTAACCATTTCATAGGGTTACACAGAACTATCCAGTTGTGCATGTCTGATGTAATTTCACATATGAATGTATGAATTACTTGTCTTATTCATGTTGATACAGCCTCAGTCCATGGCGCATCCGTGTGGGGGTACCCCAACATACCCAGAATCACAGATATTTTTCCCAACTATTCATGAACGTCCAGTTTCTTTTTCACCACCTCCCACCTGTCCACCGAAAGTAGCCATTTCCCAGCGACGTAAGAGCACCTCCTTCCTGGAAGCCCAAACTCGCCATTTCCAACCCCTGCTGAGGACTGTTGGCCAAAATCTTCTTCCACCTGGTGGCAGCCCAACTAACTGGACACCAGAGGCTGTAGTTATGTTGGGCACTACAGCCAGTAGAGTAACTGGAGATCTGTGTGACATACAGGTCCATCCTATGTTTGAGTCATCTCAAGTTTGCAGTGACTATAGACCTGGACTAGTACTTCCAGAAGAAGCACATTATTTTATTCCTCAGGAAGCAGTGTATGTAGCAGGGGTACATTACCAGGCCCAGGTGGCAGAACAGTATGAGGGCATTTCATACAACTCACCAGTACTCTCAAGTCCTATGAAACAGATACCTGAACAGAAGCCAGTACAAGGGGTCCCTACATCAAGTTCTGTCTTTGAATTTCCATCTGGACAGGCTTTCCTGGTAGGACACCTTCAGAATTTAAGATTAGATTCTGGATTGAGTCCAGGATCACCCCTCTCTAGTATTTCTGCACCTATCAGTACAGATGCTACACGTTTGAAATTTCACCCTGTCTTTGTTCCTCATTCTGCACCCGCTGTGTTAACTCATAGCAATGAGAGCAGAAGCAACTGTGTATTTGAATTTCATGCTCAAACATCAAGCTGTTCTTCAGGAGAAGGAGGTGGAATTTTACCTCAGCGTACTTACCAAAATCGACAGGTTGCAGTGGACTCAAATCAGGAAGAACTGCCTCCTCAGTCAGTTGGATTACATGGCTACCTACAGCCTGTGACTGAAGAACAGCGTAATTATCATACCCCAGAATTGACTGTTTCTGTGGTAGAGCCTATCGGACAGAACTGGCCAATAGGAAGCCCAGAGTATTCCAGTGATTCCTCACAAATCACTTCTTCAGATCCCAGTGATTTTCAGTCACCTCCCCCTACAGGGGGAACAACTGCACCTTCTGGCTCTGACGTCTCATTACCCTTTATCCATCTGCCTCAGACAGTGTTACAAGAATCCCCACTTTTCTTCTGTTTCCCCCAAGGAACCACATCTCAGCAGGTCTTATCGGCCTCATTTTCTTCAGGAGGATCTTCACTCCATCCACAGGTTATAGGAAAACTTCCACAATTCTTTTAAAGTACCCTGTTATGTACCATTACATTTAAATTTTCTATGCCTCGTTTTCCTGAATCGTGAATTTATGAAGAATATTGTTTTTTGTTTTTCCTTTTCCTAATACAGTCTCCCCATCTCTTGAGGGCTATAAACTCCTTGCATTTACAAAATATGAACTGGAAGCTACCTGATTTGCCTGTACTATTTGCAGACCTTTGGAAAAGAGAACCCAAAAACTAGAATTTTAGTCACTCATCAAAATCAATGACTTTTATTCCTATATATGGTATTTTCCAAATAACAATGAAAATTCAGTTGTCTATAATGTAAGGTTGACTCAGCATTGATTATATAGGTATACTAAAGTATGAAGTATTACTTTCTTCCTCCAAACAATTTGAAAACAATGCAAAGGGGTAACTTTTCTGTAAAATGAAAAAAGAAATGGAATATAGTGAAAATATTTTTTAGAGTAGGATTAAGAATCCATAGACTTTCTACTAGTGTGGAGAGTCTAAAAAGACAGCAAAAGGAAACCTTTTGGGAATTCAACTTAACAAAAGATGCCTTTTTGAAATGGCATCAAATAAGTCATTATGTATTATATATGCAAATTAAATAAATTTTAGCAACTAAGAATCTAGTGGGTGATGGGTAAATTTTTGTTGTTTTCAAAAATTTGTGATTAGACATCTTAGGCCCTTTTTTTTCCCCCATCAATTAATTTAGTTATTCTTGTGTATGGGCATATATCCTGCATTACAAATAAATACAAAGCAACAGGCATATAGAATAAGCAAGTAGAGTCAGTAACTATTTCATATATTCTTTTGATATATTATCAAATTTATACAGCTTTGTAAATCTACATAGGAGACTATGTATTTATATATTTAAGGCATCATTTGAATCTCCTAAGTACTCCCCTTTTCATTAAGTACTATATGTTCTTTCTCTTTTAGTCCTATATTCTTCCCCCATCAAAGACATAAATAACTCTGAAAATGTATATGAAATATCAATTTCTTAGAGTAGGAAGAAGCAGAAAGATCCAGAATCTTAATCTTTACTGCTTGGGCATTTTGGATATTCCCATCAGTACTCAGGTTGTCAAACTATACTATAAATGTTAATGTATTATTAGCCATTCTTTCCATAGTAAATTTTCAAAAGTGAAATCATTAATTTATAAACATATTGCAAAAGAAATGAATGCTTGTAACAGTAAATTGCCGTGGAATGTGATATATTCCTAGAACCTTCAGAGAACTTCTTCTAAATTGAAATGAAAGACAAAGTGGTAGCCTTTTCATTTCCTTAACCTACCCATGAGTATAGTCCTGTCTTTATTTCTCACTTTCTCGTTTATTTTAATTTTAACTTCTTTATAATTGGAACATTCTAGTTAGGGTTTCTGAGACACCACTATTAACATTCTGGGTTGGATAGTTCTTTGTTTTGAGAGTAGTTTTTCTGTGCATTTTAGAATATTTAGCAGCATCCCTTCTTACGAGATGGCTATAGCCATCTCGCCCAGTTTTAACAAGAAATGATTCCAGATACTCCACATGTTCCCTGGGTGATGACTATTATTGTAGGTATTAGCAGCTGATTATAAGAGTTTTTTTACATTTTTCCATAACTATGACACTGCAAGAAGTAGCAGAAGAACCTAATTAAAATTATCAAGTGATTTTAATTTTCTTTAAATGTTCAGATTAAAAATTGTTTCACACTGATAGTTTTACCACTTTTTCCTGGTGTGTGTGTGTATGTGTGTGTGTATGTGTATGTGTGTTTCTAGCAATAATTTTACTATAAATCTGAATATTCTAGTTGGCCAGAATTAAAACCTAAACAAGATAGGTTTTTACCATCAATGTTGTTCCTGTGAGATGGGATCAAAAATGAACTATAATATGATCCTTTTCTAAACTTCTTATAAGATAGTCCAAAGACCTCTCCCGTACTTAATCAAGGTATTGTTTCATTTTGATCAAGCAAACTTCTCAGGACCTTAAATTTATTGCAAAAGATTGATCTGTATACACTTGCATTAGGCCTTCTATAATTTATCATATTTACTTCTTTCCATCAGGCGCAGGGTCAGAGCCAGGGCCAACTATCTTCAAGTAGTTTAGCAGGGGTTCCATCTTCCCAGCCCATCCAACATCCTCAGCCGGTAAGAACAATATATTGCTACATTTAATTAATTAGTAGTAACCAAAATAGTTTTACATCTTTTGTGTTTTAAATTCTTGATATGAATAACTTGCTAAGGTGTTTATTTTTTAAGTTTTTGTTTTTTTTTTTTTGTCAGTGGATCTTATTTGTTTGATTGTTGTTTTGTTTATATGTGGTGCTGAGGATCAAACCCGGGGCCTCATACATGCCAGGCAAGTGCTCTACCACTGAGCCAAAACTTCAGCCCCAAGTTGCTAAGTTTTTGAAAGGGAAATTAAAAAGTCATAGCATTTCTTTTTCTTTTTCTTTTCTTTTTTTTTTTAAAGTTATAGGGAGACACAATATCTTTGTTTTAGTTATTTATTTTTATGTGGTACTGGGGATTGAACCCAATGCCTCACATGTGTAAGGCAAGTGCTTTGCCACTGAGCCCAAGGCATAGCATTTCTTGTGTTGGGTAGCAGTTTAGGAAATCTTTGTTAAATGTGTCTTTTTTTTTTTTAATGAACCTTTATTATTTATATGTAACGGTAAGAATTGAACCTAGTACTTCACACATGCTAGGCAAACATTCTACCACTGAGCTATGACCCCAGCCCTTAAATGTACTTGTAAAGGATTTAAAGTTTAAAACAGCTGTTACTACTTTATCTGCCTTCTTAAATGGTTCTTAACATAATTTGACAATACAAAAAGTATCAATTTGTTTCTGCTTATGTTTATGACTCATCCACAAATGAGCATTTTGTCTTTTTTTTCCATTGTCCAGCAATGAAACAACTACTATAGGAAAATTGTTTTTCAAAAAAATAACATTTTACTAAACTTCTGATTTGGGAGGTTTTGTTCCAGAACTCAAAATATTAGTGCAGTAGTAATATATTCAGCAGTAAAATTTTTATAATCTTAAAATTAAATGTCTGTAGTTCACCGCTAATATTTGTTGGTGGTAATTATTTGCAAGGAAATAATGCTTTTTTGGCATAATTGAATATAGGTATTTTGAACAAAATTCATAGCACTCCATGTGTAATACAAACTTAATGATGAAGTATTTCATTAATAGTTTCCCAAGGGTAGTTTTTAACCACCAAATTATAAATTAGCTTCTGCTTCCATTAAATTTTGAAACAGTCTAAGGTTATACCTTAGAACATTTTGGGAGAAGTAGTACCTCTGAGCAAGTGAAAAGTACTTGGTGATCTGCTTTTGCATAGTCACATTCGCTAACAATCAAAACTAAAGTATACAAGAAAAAAATCACTTTAACATATTTTGTACACAGGGGAATAGATTGATTTGATTATACATGCATTTACTCAATGACCAATACCTCTGTATCTTATAGAAATTGTGGATTGGGAATTACATGCTCTGTTTTACTCCTAACCTTTCTTCTAAACAGATTTCTATAATTTAAGCATTATTTCAAGGGTTTTTTTTAATATTGATTTTTTTAGGTGGACACAATATCTTTATTTTATTTTTTTTATGTGGTGCTGAGGATCAAACTCAGTGCCTTGTGCATTCTACACAAGCATTCTACCTCGGAGCCATAACCCCAGCCCCTAGAAATATATGATTCTGCAAAGATATCCAAAAAGCTGCATTTATCTGTTACTGAGGTTCCATATTTTAAAAGGAGTAAGAAGGGGGCTGGAGTTGTGGCTCAGTAGTTGAGCACTTCCCTAGCACATGTGAGGCAATGGGTTTGATCCTCAGCACCACATAAAAATAAATGAATAAAATAAAGGTATTATGTTTATCTACAACTAAAAAAAAATTTTTTTTTTTTTTTACAAAGGAATAAGAAGGGCTGGGATTGTGGTTCAGTGGTATAGAGTGCTTGCCTCGCATGTGTGAGGTACTAGATTAGATCCTCAGCACCACATATAAACAAATAAATAAAATAAAGGTATTGTGTCCATCTACAACTAAAAATTTTTTTAAAAAAAAAGAAGGATAAAATCCTTATGTACTATGAAGATAGTCTGTTTTAAATGATTTATTATATATATATATTTTTAATTGTTGTTTATTTTTATTTATTTGTTTTTAATGTGGTGATAGGGATTGAATACAGGGCCTCATGCATGCTAGGTAAATAAATTGCTTTACCACTGAGCTATCTCCCCAGCGCTAGAGTCTGTTTTAGGATGTGACTTTTGTTTTTATTCTGTCAAGCCCCAACCTCACCTTAGGAAAGTATCTTTAGTTGTATTATAAAGTAAGGTAAGAAATGCACCTTAGCTGAAATTTATTTCTTGGATATCTGGAAAGTAGTAAATACGGTACCAAAATAGCTTCCTCCTTCTGAAAACTTTGTGCCCATAAGCAACGTGGTGAATTATCTCACTAAATACTTTTTTCCATAGGGGCAACTATAGTCTTCAGGTGTTCTTACTTTTCTGTTCAGCTGGGCATATGAACATTTTTTATCAAGCAGCCACATCCAGCAAATAGTACACAGTCTACATAAGCTTTTTGAACTGGTTTTGTGAGACATGTTTAGGCAAGGCATGATGCCAGCCTGTTATGTTGACTGCTTGACTAAAGTATTGATTATTAGACAATGTGACTATGCACAAGCAGATCACCAAGTACTTTTCACCTGCCCAGAGATAGTACTTCTTCCAAAGTATATCTATGCTGGTTATACCTTAGATAGTACTTCTAAGGTATAACCAGCATAGATGCCTGTCATCCTAGGCAAAAAGTAAGGCAACTTGTTCATAAAATGTATTGTTCACTTTCTTTAATTTTTTTTTTTTTTTGTAGTTGTAGATGGACAGAATACCTTTATTTTATTTGGTTATTTTTATGTGGTGCTAAGAATTGAATCAGTTGCCTCACACATGCTAGGCAAGTGCTCTGCCACTGAGATATAGCCCAGCCCTGCTTACTTTGTTTTTTAAATTGGTTCTTTTATAACTGCATCACAGTCAAATCCATTTTGATAGAATTATACAAGCATGAAATATATCTTATTCTAATTATGACCCCATTCTTGTGAATGTACACGATGGTGGGATCACATAAATATTTTCATATATGTACATACAAAAATTACATCAGGTTCATTTCATTGTCTTTTCTATTCCTATTCCCCTTCCCTTGCCTTCATTCTGCTTTGTCTAATCTACTGAACTTCCTTTCTTCCCCTCCCACTATTTATTGTGTTTTAGCTTCCACATATCAGTGAAAATATTTGACTTTTGGGTTTTTAACTATCCATCATTCATATTCCCTCTACCCAGATACAGTTTTTTTTTTGTTTTTGTTTTTTTAAGTTCAGATACTTGTGGCCGTCTAAAATGGGTTAGATATGACTATTCTCATGGATCCTAAATGCTGTAGTAAACATGTAAACTGGGCTAGGGCTGCAGCTCAGTGGTAGAGCACTTGCCTTGCATGTGTGAGGTACTGGGTTCGATCTTCAGCACCACATAAAAATAAATAAATATATTTTTAAAAAAAACATATGTAAACTTCTATAAAACAAAGATAAAAGCTAGCATGATTTATACAAAATGCAAGATTCTTTGTCCATATTATTATTTATTCCCTATAAGAACCCTATAAGGCATATCATTTCTATTTACTACTGGGAAAGCTGAGACCTGGAGAAGTTTAGGTAATCTAACTAAACTCACAGGAAGTGAAAATAGTTGAAATCCAAATAATCTGATTCTACAGCTCATCCAATTATATCCAAAAATAGAAATTAATATCTCTCTTGAACAGAAGGGGGATATCAGGAAGTCTTTATGGAAGAGAGATAGATGTTGGACTCTGAGACTCAGATATAAAGACTGTTCTGTGCAATAAGAAAAATGGGGAAGATTAGGCATGAGCAGGGTAGAAGTCTTCCAAAGGTTTTAAAAAAGAAAACATGGAGCAGAAACAAATATATCCTTCAGTTTAATGAAGGTATAAATTTTGGAAAGAATTGATAGAATTCAAATTTTGTTGTGAATATGGTTCTGAATTAATGGGGAGAGAATTGGATTCTGTGCTTACCATTATCCAAATATAAAATGGGGATTTTTTTCCCTCAAATTTATTCTTTTGAATAAAAAGGAATATTACCATGAATTCAAACCTGTATCTTAATCTCATATTACATAGCACCATCCTTTGAACAACAACCCAAAAAGTGTTAATGAGCTAAAACAGTTGAGAACAAATGTTTCTATAGAGACTTTAATCTGATAGAGTTTGTGATTTTTTTAAGATAAGAGAATAAACATCAATTTGGTCCTTAATTCTTTTTTTTTTTATATTTTTTTACTTATTGATGGACCTTTATTTATTTGTCCGTGGTGCTAAGAATCGAACTTAATGCCTCACACATGCTAGGCAAGTGCGCTACCACTGAGCCACAACCCTAGCCCTGGTCCTTAATTCTTAAGAGAATGATTTCATTATTCTAACTATGGTATGTCATTACAAACAACTTGATTAAAAGATTAGGAAGTTAGGGGCTGGGGATGTGGCTCAAGTGGTAGCGCGCTCGCCTGGCATGCGTGCAGCCCGGGTTCGATCCTCAGCACCACATACCAACAAAGATGTTGTGTCTGCCGAGAATTAAAAAATAAATATTAAAAATTCTCTCTCTCTCTCTCTCTCTCCTCTCTCACTCTATCTTTAAAAAAAAAAAAATAAAAAAAAAAAAAAAAAAGATTAGGAAGTTAATACAGGGGCTGGGGTTGTAGCTCAGTGGCAGAGTGTTTGCCTAGTTATGTGTGAGGCACTAGGTTCGATTCTTTAGCAGTACCACATTAAAACAAATAAAGTATTTGTCCATCTATAACAATAACAAAAAAGAAGTTAATACAAAAATTGCATGAATATAAAACAAATGCAAAAAACTAATACTGTTCAAGCAGATGCTTGTTACTTTAAATTTTACCTCAAGACACAACTTGAAGGGAAAGTGTTGTACCAGAGAAAATTAATATTAATTTTAAAATTAATTTTCACTCCATTGAAAATTACATTTGAAGAGTTTAAGGAAGGGGAAACAATATTTCTAAATTAATATATTTACATAACTGATCTCATTTAAATATGTAAATAAATGAGTTAGATAATTGTAGATATTTCATTCACATTCCTTAAAATTTGAATATATTCCAGTCGAAAGAGTTTTTTTTTTTTTCCAGCACCTCTCTTTTATTTATTTATTTATTTTTTTAAGTTGTAGATGGACACATTACATTTGTTTGTTTGTTTGTTTGTGTGGTGCTGAGGATTCAAACCCAGGGCCTTACACATGCCAGGCAAGCGCTCTACCCTGAGCCACAACCCCCAATACAGCATCTCTCTATCAATAAGAAAATGACTAAATTATCTTATATTCAGAGTTGCCTTAGAGTTGGCAACATGATGTATCTTAGGTTCTGGGGGAAAGCTTTATATAATTTAACAGCCATTTGTTTCTGGTTGTTCTTAATGTTAAAGTAAGAATACACTACAAGGACAATAGAAATAAAGCAGCAGAGCATGGTGTTACATGCCTAGAATCCCAGTGACTCCGGAGGTTGAGGTAGAAGGATCACAAGTTTGAGGTCAGTATTGGCAACTTAGCAAGACCCTCAGCAAGTTAGCAAGACACTGTCCCAAAATAAAAAATAAAAAGGACTGGGGATATATAGGTCAGTGATAAGCATTACTGGGTTCAATCTTTAGTACCAATAAATAGATAGGAATAAAGCAAACATGACTGCTACCACTGTTATTTCAGTAGTTTGGTGATAATTTGGTAATTTCAAAGAAGTAAGGAATATACTAAATGTCAAAAAATGCATTCTACTGTAAAATAAATAAATAAATATTTTTAAAAAAGGAATAAGGAATAAAAATATGAAGAAAAAAAATACTACTGTAGATTATCACCTAACAAAATTCAAGACACTCACTAAGGTAGCCATATACATAATAAATACACAAATTAATATTTTATCATATGAGCAATAACCATTTATTTGTATGGATATATGAGGACAAATAAAGAACTGTTGTTTGCAACATTATTTTCAAGTAGCGAAAAAGAAAAAATCGAAACAACCAAAATGTTCATTAACATATTATTGTTTATAAACAGTATGGATTTGTATATTAAAAGAAAAAATTAAGTTTGTTATGTTTACTCTTACTACAAAGCCTTGAAAGTTATACAGTTCAGATTTTTTGTTCTCAGATTTAGCTCTTCTGAATGCTTTATCATTGAGCTACATCCTACATCCCCAATCCTTTTTATTGTTTATTTTGATACAGAGTCTTCTGTGTCGCCCAGACTGGACTTGAACTTATGATCCCATTTCCCCAGCCTCCCAAGTTACTGAGATCATAGGTGTGTGCCACCAGCAAAGTTCAGATTTTTGTTAGGCAAAGGGGGGCACTAATTTTAGAGATAAGTTCTGTTTTGTTTGCTTGATTTATTATAAAATTTAGTATTGGGCTAAAATTACATGTACAGGCCTTATATATGGTTAATTCCCAGATGTCATTTCCCTTTGCCCCACATTGAGGTATAGCATTGTTTTCAAGAAAAGGAAACTTCATATTTATAATAAATGAGTAGTCTAAGGTATTATAGCTAGTAAATGGTAAAACTAAAATTTGAAACTGTCTCATTCAAAACTCTATGCTTTTCTCACTGTTTTGTAGTTGTAATCAGATTATATAATCCATAAAATAGACTAAAAGAGATTAAAGTAGGAGACTAGATGAGTCCACTGAAGGAGCCTAAGTGAGAGCTCATATCAAAAGAAAAGGGGTGCAAATGTGGGGTGGGGTAAAGAGCTATTTGGATATAGTGTCTAAACATCTTTGTAAAGACCTACTGTTGGAGTGTGGGAGGTGTTGGGTAAACAACCAATGGTTTCTGAAGTTTGGAATATTGGTTAATTTTTCCTAATGATACTATCAGAAACAATATCAGAAGAAAAACATGTAAGAGAAATTGATGAATTTGGTTATTATGTTTTAATTACTAAAATTATTATTAACAGATACTGAGGACTTTAGTTAATATACCTCTTAGAAACATGGTATGTTCCAATGATTTGAAATAAAATGGAATCATTAGTTGGACACAGTGGTGCACTACTGCATTACCAGCTCATGGGAGATTGAGATGGGGGGGAGCACATGACTTCAGGAGTTTCAGACTGGCCCAGACAACAAAGTAAGACCCCAACCTCCCTCCCCTCTAAAAAGAACTGAATCATCATATTTTATTCCTAACAGCAGGGAATACAACAGACAGCCCCTCCTCAACAGACAGTACAGTATTCACTTCCACAAACAACAGCCTCCACTGAGGCCACTACTGCACAGCCAGTGAGTCAACCTCAAGCTCCACAGGTCTTGCCTCAAGTGTCAGCTGGAAAACAGGTAAACTCTCAATTTCTGAAAAGATGCTAAAGAGGATCTACATGTAACTTGTCCTTTCAAATAGGTAGACTTCCAACCTTTATAATAGTGAAATATCCATTGAAGTTGGTTAATCTCAGTGCAATAATGGAGTAAAAATTTGCTCTCTTTGCACATATGCATCATAAATGGATATATATACTGACAGCAGTGACAGGTTTATCAGTATAGAGTTATAAGTGTTAAAACCTAACGGGTAGCTGGTGTGGTAGTGAATGCCTGTAATCCCAGCTACTCAGGAGGCTGAGGCAGAAGGATCAAAGGCCAGCTAGGATACTGTCTCAAAATATAATTTTTTTTTAAAAAAAAGCACTGGGGATGTAGCTTATTGGTGGAATGTTTGCCTCACATGTGTAAGACCCTGGATTCAGTCCCCATTAACACACACACACACACACATACACAATCCTAATGGGTTAAATAAAAATGCTGGTAACTGAACCTGTGCCATTCTCTAGAAATATGTCAGCTATATCTAATATTCAGATATATCTGGTATTCGCAATTATGCTTTGTTTTCAGGTGGATTTGTAAAAAACTTTCTCCCTTATTGCCTTTTGACAGTAAGTTATAAAAGCTCCTTACATGAAATGATGCATTTTTTTCTTCTAAGTTGTCCTTCTAATCATTTGAAAAGTACCTTGTAGAAGGTATGCTCTTCTGAATGGCCTTTCTTCACTTGTATCATAGATACGGTTTTGTTTGTACCCTTTTGCTTATTTGTGCACAGTGTATTGTTACTGTCATATTTCATCATATCTGAGATACTATCTATATAAAATGCACCATTATTTTATGAATCACTGAGTACATACCATCAACACATCAACAGCTGTAAGATATATCCAAATTTTTCAAATGTTAAAATGACCAGGTAGTAGAGAAGGGTTATTTTGTCCTAGAATCAGTGAAATATATTAATTATACCTATTTTTATAGAGCTGCTAGACTTTTGTAGAAATAATATGGATACAGTCTAAATCACTGGGAAGAAACTTGTTTCAAACTTCATTAGCTACTTCAATAGCAATTCTAGATTTAGGGGTAGAAAACATGCCAATGGATTATGGTATGCAAAATATCTGCCAATAAACCTATTAAAAACAAACAACAAAACCCTTGCCTATGGAAAGGTTTATTTTTTATAGTCAGTGATGAAACATTACCAAATTTTTCTATAGTGAAAATTTGGAACAGTAACCAGTTTATTATCCTTTTTGTATCCCTGCTATTCTTTTTTCCCTGTTGTAATGTGGCATATTAACTTAAACTAATGTATGCAGGGTTTTGTTTGTTTGCTTCCCTCTTTTTGGCTAATAAACAAATCTTGCTTTCAGCAGCCTTGCTTTAAAAAAAAAAAAAAAGTCTTGTCTGTTTTGTTTTTCTTTACTTTCTCAGCTTCCAGTTTCCCAGCCAGTATCAACTGTCCAAGGCGAATCTCAGATCCCAGTTGCATCACAATCCTCAGTTGTTCCAGTCCACTCTGGTGCTCATTTCCTTCCTATGGGACAGCCACTCCCCACTTCCTTACTCCCACAGTACCCTGTCTCTCAAATTCCCCTATCAACTCCTCATGTGTCTACAGCTCAGACAGGTTTCTCATCCCTTCCCATTACAATGGCAGCTGGCGTTAATCAGCCTCTGCTCACCTTGGCTTCATCTGCTACAGCAGCTGCGATCCCAGGGGGATCAACTGTGGTTCCTAGTCAGCTTCCAACCCTTCTGCAGCCTATGACTCAGCTGCCAAGTCAGGTTCACCCACAGCTTCTACAACCAGCAGTTCAGTCCATGGGGATACCAGCTAACCTTGGACAAGCTGCTGAGGTTTCGCTTCCCTCTGGAGATGTTCTATACCAGGTACTGTGTTACCTAGTAAAAGAGGAGAGCATTGGAGGGTTTGATTTTAATAAGACAATCAAAAACCTAAAAATGTAGTAGTTGAGTATCAGAAGAACAGTAACAAAGGTTGCTGATCTTAACTAGAGAAGCTAAAAGATTAAAATTCCAAGAAAAAGTAGAGTGATGATGTTTGATGACCTCCTTACCCTTTTTTTTTTTTAAGACACAACCTGGGAGAAAAATGGTTCAATATTCAGTGTAAGCACACCAGGCTATATGTATGTGGGTGTATATATATGTATATGTATATATAGATGGAATAAGAGTTGGCAATATGGTATCAACAAAAAAACTTCAGAGTTTAGATTTAGAAGATGACCATTCCATATATGACTGGAATGGCTAATACTAGGAGGAGTTTGCATTCTTCCATGTAAGATTTGCTAAAAAGTAGATATATTTCTAGAAGGAATTAAGTTTATTATAATTCCTATTTAAATAATCTCCAACTGGGGAAAACCAGCAATTTAAAATATGATATGTAGAATGCTGGCTCCCAAAATGGAACCAGTATACCATTTCATTTCAAGAATAATCTTTAGATTATTATAAGAGAACGGGCTACTCTTCTTTGCTGTATGCTTCCTGCTACACCACCACCACCACCATCACCCCCCCTTTTTTTTTTTTGCATGTTTTGCTGATTTGCTAATTTGATGCCCCAACCTGCACTAACTCACCTTCCTCATTTCTATCACAGGGCTTCCCACCTCGACTGCCACCACAATACCCAGGAGATTCAAATATTACTCCCTCTTCAAACGTGGCTTCTGTTTGCATCCATTCTACAGTCCTATCCCCTCCCATGCCTACAGAAGCATTGGCTACACCAGGTTATTTTCCTACAGTGGTGCAGCCTTATGTGGAATCAAATCTTTTGGTTCCTGTGGGCGGTATAGGAGGACAGGTTCAAGTGTCCCAGCCAGCAGTGAGTTTAGCACAACAATCCCCCACTACATCCTCCCAGCAAGCAGTTCTGGAGGTAAATGGAATTATTGCATGTTTATACATAAAGCATATATACTAAGGGATAAAAATGACAAAGGAGAAACAGGCTTCCCTGGTTAAGAACTCATTTGGAGACCATGTCAAACTAACTTCTGAATGACTTTTTCTTACAGCAGAATGAAATGCCAATGTGGGGGCCTTGTTGCCACTGGCTGTTCTGTTGGGAAGTGAGTGTGCCTTGGAGAAGATTAACCCTATTAGTACTTCACTTCTCTAGCTAGTACTTTAGCCATTATTCTTGTCCTTTCACAAACTCATACCATTGGCAGTCATAAGAATATCTTATCCTACTGTGCTCTCAGCAATCATTTTTGCCCTACTAGGAAAAAAAGGTCTGAGTTTATCTTTGCACTTTGCTCTGCCTGCACTATTGCACACTTTTGGTAAGATGCTGGCTGCATGGCAAGTTGTAGTTTCACATTGCCTAGCAAATAGGTTGGCTGACTTCACACCATGCAGTCTTTATGAGAGACTACCTTTAGAAACTTCCTTTGGAATTTTAAGATCACTATCCGTAGATGCTGAATATTGAGAACTCCTAGTAAATTTACTGCTTCTAGGATATAGGGGAGGGATAAGAGGAAATAAAGGGATCTTATCGCGATCATTTATCATGATAAATATGTTACCACCAAGATTTGAATTATCCTTTCCATTCACAGAGTACTCAGGGAGTCTCTCAGGTTGCTCCTCCAGAGCCAGTTCCAGTAGCACAGTCACAACCAACCCAACCTGTCACTTTGGTGTCCTCTATAGACAGGTAAAATCATAATTCTCTTTTGACTTATAGATAGGATAGTATAAAACATCAAAATATCAAACCCTAAAATCTCATATTGAAAATGGAACTTTTTCTTTTTCAAAGTGCACACTCAGATGTTGCTTCAGGTATGAGTGATGGCAATGAGAATGCCCCATCATCCAGTGGAAGGCATGAAGGGAGAACAGCAAAACGGCATTATCGAAAATCTGTAAGAAGTCGCTCTCGTCATGAAAAGACTTCACGCCCCAAATTGAGAATTTTAAATGTAGGTATCGATGACTTTGTGGCTTTGATATTGTTAAAGGAACTTAGTACGGAGAATAGTTTTTGAAATCAGAACCATTCATTTCATAAAATAAAGATACCTTATCTTTGCACCATATATAATTTATATAGCCTTTTTTTTTCATTTAATTCATACAATTCTTTTTGAGTATCACATTTTTCAGAAAGTATAGTTTACAAATAATCTGTAATAGAGACAGCAACTAATATCATTGAAATAATTCTTAAGGCTTAGGGAAAAGAATAGAGTGAAAAAGACTTTATGTTCCTTTCAGACTCAGTAGTGGAAGATAAACAAATAGCTCAAAGACTGACATCACCTTATAGTATAGGTATTCTACCAGTTCAAGTATTGGTGCTTCAAGTTACAATATTAAGGGGCTGGGGATGTGGCTCAAGCGGGAGCGCGCTCGCCTGGCATGCGTGCAGCCCGGGTTCGATCCTCAGCACCACATACAAACAAAGATGTTGTGTCCGCCGATAACTAAAAAATAAAATATTAAAATTCTCTCTCTCTCTCTCTCTCTCTCCCTCCCTCCCTCCCTCCCTCCCTCCCTCCCTCCCTCCCTCCCTCCTCAGAATTTTCTAGTTTAGTCTCCTGAACTAAATCTTTAGGAAAAAAAAAAAAAGTTACAATATTCATACCATGCTTCCTCAGACATAAATATGAGCATTAGTCTGAATGACTTTTTCTCGATGTCAGTAATAAAGCCAAGTATAGTCTTCAGAAATGAAGTATCTTTTCTTTTCAGGTTTCAAACAAAGGAGACCGGGTAGTAGAATGTCAATTAGAGACTCATAATCGGAAAATGGTTACATTCAAATTTGATCTAGATGGTGACAACCCCGAGGAGATAGCAACAATTATGGTATGTCTGCATATGGAGTTCCAAATTTTCCCCTATTACTTCATCTAAATATCCATTGCCCTAGGCAACTATCCAATATTTGTAATTCATGTTTTATAGTTCTGTATTTCATTGTAATATAACCAGCACACCTAACCTGTGATTGTGATATTTTTGTGTAGAATCTGTAATTATTCACCTTTCAGTATTAAGTATTGAAGTTCTTAAATAGGAAAGAGCTGCCAGGCACTGTGGCCAAGGCAGGAGAATTTCAAGGTTGAGGCCAACCTGGGCAATTTAGTGAGATGCTACCATAAAATAAAATGAAATGAAATGAAATGTAAAGTAGCAGAAAAGTACAAATAAAGTAAAATAAAATATAAAAAGGGGACTGGAGGTGAATCACTGGGTTTGATCATTAGCAGCACAAAAAGAAAAAAGGATGGAAGGGCTAACTTAAATACCAAATAAATAATACACTATATATGCAGATGGGATAAAAATCTTGTGGTAGTTGAATGACCTAAAGCTTCAGAAATGTTATATTGATCAGAAGGACATAATTTGTTTTACAGGTGAACAATGACTTTATTCTAGCAATAGAGAGAGAGTCATTTGTGGATCAAGTGCGGGAAATTATTGAAAAAGCTGATGAAATGCTTAGTGAGGATGTCAGTGTGGAACCAGAGGGTGACCAGGGAATGGAAAGTCTGCAGGGAAAGGACGACTATGGTTTTTCAGGTTCTCAGGTAGGTTCACCAATCACATAGTGAAGCTTTGTTTATATAAAATACATCTGTAGTACTAAATTTGCCATGCAAAATGCCTACTGATATCACATTGTGACTGAGAATAAGCATTCATGTTCATTTCACTTGGTGATTTGCTTTGTCTAATTGAGAGTACATTTGAGAATGAACTTACTTTTAGTTTGTTTGGTTTTGTTTTCTTAGAAATTGGAAGGAGAATTCAAACAACCAGTTCCCACATCTTCCATGCCACAGCAAATCGGTAAATTTCTTCTTTCCTCATTTGTTTTCTGCCTTTAATTTAAGAAGTTGTATGTGCCAATAATGAAATATTAAAGTTTCATGCGGTTGAGTTATATAACAAAAAATGCTATTAAGAGATTTGTTTTTATTCAGGTGTTCCTACCAGTTCTTTAACTCAAGTTGTTCATTCTGCTGGAAGACGGTTTATAGTGAGTCCTGTGCCAGAAAGTAGATTACGAGAATCCAAAGTTTTCACCAGTGAAATATCAGACACAGGTGAGGATTGATTCTGCCACATATTTAATAACATAAATCCTATAGTATCTCTGCTACAATGGAAGCTTGGTCATCAAGCAGTAGCTCATGATGACACAGATAATAAAAATAAGTAGAAAATAGAGGTTTTAAACAGCAGATAAACATAAGGAGTAGGGAACTATTTAAATAATAGGATTAAAGAAAAAGCCAGAAAGGATAGCCATATTAGATGCAGCTTATGTATAATTCTTTATTGTGTTTCTTTTTTTTGTTTGTTTTTAGAAATTATATATGTTTTCAGAGTACTCCATGTTTCTTTTCTGGAAATAGATGTTCACTCACATAAGCTGACTATTTGAACAAACTGCTAGTCAATTTTACAGTTTTAGAACTTGTCATTTTCTTGGGAGAAATATTAAACCTTCTTGATAACATGGCATTGTTGGTGATCAAAAAATAGGTTGTTAGAACAATGTTTAAATCCTTCCTTTTATATAAAGGACTATAAATATAACCTGTATTTTTGTTTTCCTTTGCAGTTGCTCCCTCTATACCTCAGGGCCCTGGAATGAATTTGTCTCACTCTGCTTCATCCCTTAGTCTCCAGCAGGCCTTTTCTGAACTTAGACATGCCCAAATGACTGAAGGACCCAACACAGCACCTCCAAACTTTAGTCACACAGGACCAACATTTCCTCCTTTCTTGGCCGGAGGCCCAACCACAGCAGCAGCCACACCTTCAGTATCAGTTCCTATATCAAGCAGCTCTCTTAATGACATTTCCACATCAGTTATTCAGGCTGAGGTTACAGTACCCACTGAAAAAGGGATTACTGGAGTTGCCACCAGCACAGGTGTGGTTATGTCAAGCTGTCTTCCTGTACCACCTGTGTCTGAGTCACCAGTACTTGCCAGTGTGGGTTCAAGTGTCACAATACCTGCAATTGTCTCAATGTCCACAACATCCCAGCCAGTACAGGCCCCCACATCTGGGAGCACTGTTTCTAGTACAGGCGCTTTTCCTTCTATGACAGTTTCAACAGCTTCAACCTCTGCAGTGGGCAGTACTGCTGCCCCAGGTGCTAAGCCTCCAGCTGTGTTATCTCAGCAGACAGCAAGCACTACTGGGGTAGCCACAGTAACATCAGTTTCTGCCTCCACTCCATTCCCAACCATAGCTTCACAGCCATCCCTTCAGCTTAGTAGCAGTACCTCTGCCCCTACTCTAGCTGAAACAGTGGTGGTTAGCGCACACTCACTGGACAAAACATCTCATAGCAGTACAACTGGATTAGCTTTGTCTCTCTCTGCACCATCTTCCTCTTCCTCTCCTGGAGTAGGAGTGGCTAGTTCTGTTTCTCAGCCTGGTGGAGTGCATCCTTTAGTCATCCCATCAGTGATAGCTTCTACTCCTATCTTTCCCCAAGCAGTAGGACCTACTTCTACACCTTTGTTACCCCAGGTACCCAGTATCCCACCCTTGGTACAACCTGTTGCCAATGTGCCTGCTGTACAGCAGACTCTCATTCATAGTCAGCCTCAACCAGCTTTGCTTCCTAACCAACCCCACACTCACTGTCCAGAAGTAGATGCTGATACCCAACCCAAAGCCCCTGGAATTGATGACATAAAGACTCTGGAGGAAAAGCTGCGGTCTCTCTTTAGTGAACACAGCTCTTCTGGAGCTCAGCATGCCTCTGTCTCACTAGAGACGTCACTAGTAGTAGAGACCACAGTCACACCAGGCATCCCAACCACTGCTGTTGCACCAAGCAAACTCATGACTTCCACTACGAGTACTTGCTTACCACCAACAAATTTGCCATTAGGAACAGCTGGTTTGTCAGTCATGTCAGTGGCCACACCTGGGCAAGTTTCTACCCCAGGCAGCTATGTTTCAGCCCCAGTCAGCACTACATCAGGAATGAAACCTGGAACTGCTCCCTCAAAGCCACCTTTAACTAAGGCTCCGGTAAGGTTCTTGTGAAACTATTATTAGATAAGTAAGATCACATTCGTGCAGTTTTCAACTTGGCCTTGCAAATTAATAATGTAGTTACAAAGCCTTGAAGGTTATAAATGTAGTGGTTACAACCCATAAACCCATCCTAAAATTGAAAATATGAAGTTCAGTCTTAAACAAATTGACAGCAACTTTAGGACATGAACACAAAGATTTTTCCCTTTTTTGAAATGTATATTATTATCAGGTAAAATGTAGACATTTCTCCTATTTCCCAAAGGGGAAATAAAGGCATCTATCAAAAAAATATGCATAGTAATAGTAGTTTGCCACTTTGTTTCAATTGAGAATGAAAGAAATTTTCTGCTTTCCATGTAAGTACAATTTGAGGTTCATAAAAATTGAAAGTGATAAAAGAGGAATTAGTCTAATCCTAGGAATAAAATAACTAAACTGTATTTTTTAATTCTTCTGTGGCAGATTTCCTTTCATTTTCCCATCTTTAGCATTGCTGATCTTTTTTTAAAAATAACAAGGCTATATTGTGGCTACTGTATTCTATACTTCAGCTATCTTTCTGCATTGCTATTGCTGTGAAACTCTTTGCAGTGGGGTAATACAGGTATTTCTAAACTTAAAATAGGGTTACAACCCATAAACCCATCCTAAAATTGAAAATATGAAGTCAAAAATGCATTTAATATACCTACCTAAACATTGTAGCTTAGGAACACAAACACTGTAAAATATTGGTTGTTTACCCTTGTGATGTCATGATTAAAAGAGCTGTGTCTCACTACTGCTGATTAGCATCATAAGAGAGTATCGTCCTCCATTTTGGTAGCCTGGGAAAGATCAAAATTTACATTTGTGGTAAATGCCTGTTGTCCCAGCTACTCAGGAAACCAAAGTGGGAGGATCACTTGATCCCAAGGGTTGAAGATCAACCTACTAGTCAGCATAATGAGACCCTATCCCCCCCCAAAAAAAAAAAAAATTCCAGGTGTGGTGGCATGCACCTGAAATCCCAGCAACTCAGGCTGCTGAGACAGGAGGATCACAAGTTCAAGGCCAGCCTGGGTAATTTAGCAAGGCCTTGTCTCAAAATGAAAATGGCTCTGGGGATGAAGCTCAGTGGTAAAGCACCCCTGGGTTCAATGGTCAGTACCAAAAAGATAAAGAAAAAAATTTCATGTCTAACCATCCATCATATGTAAGGAACTGTCAGTTCAGAGTCTTTACTCAGATAAAACAAATTACTTGATAGTATTAGATTTTTGATGCCTTTTCTTATCAGACTTCCCTCTGGGTTTTAAGCCAACTTCTGAGTTGTTTGCTTTTATTTTCCTTTTTCTCAGAAGTCTTGTTTTTCTTAGCAAATGTCTTGTTTTTCTATATCAAATAAGTAGCTCAAAGAGCTGTGCCTCTTATGTGCCTATAGACTTTGTCCTCTTTATTTACCCTAAGGAACAACCTTTTATTATATTTTACTTCATTTCAAGGGTATTTCAAAATAACACTTATAATTCTATTATTTTGTTATATTGTCCTTTATGTAAGACAGATATTAAGAGTGTACCCTTGGTGATAACTAGATACATTTTATTTTATGCTTCTGTATTAAAATTAGTTGGTTTGCTCTTTAGCATGCAGTCTTTACTATTAGTGTCTTATGGACTTGAATTTCCATTCATTGTCTTAGGTGCTGCCAGTGGGTACTGAACTTCCAGCTGGTACTATGCCTAGCGAGCAGCTGCCACCTTTTCCTGGACCTTCACTAACTCAGGTGCCCCAAGATTTGGCAGATTTCTTTATATGCTCCTACTTTTCTTCGCAAAGCTTGTTTAAATAGTTCACCATTGCATGACCTTGGCTTCTGGTTCCTTCTTGGCTTTGACTTAGTAACACCTTTCTTTTAAAAGCCATGTAGCTGCACAGGGGTTATAGCTCAGTGGTGGAGCACTTGCCTATCATGTGTGAGGCACTGGGTTTGATACTCAGCACCACATAAGAATAAACAAAATAAAGGTATTGTATCCGTCTACAACTAAGAAAATATTTAAAAACATAAAAACCATGTAGCTAATGATCCAGGCCCCACTTAAAGTAAGCTTCATTATTATTTTGTTTAGAATTTTGCTTCAAGTCACCTAGAAAACATTTAATATTTTTTTATATTTCATGTGGGAAGAAAATATCAAAGTTTGATGTTTTGCCAGACAACATTACTCTTTTTTTCATTCACAGTTTTTTAAAAATATTTTTAGTGTAGATGGACATGATATCTTTATTTTATTTATTTAGTTTCATGTGGTGCTGACACTGGAATCCAGTGCCTCACACATGCCAGGCAAGCTCTCTATCACTAAGCCACAACTCCAGCCCCCATTTATTCTTTCATAGAATAGTGAAATTGCTTCTTAAATGTAAGGGTAGTTTCTAAGCCAATGTGGAAATAAAAAAGTTTATGTGATCAAAATTAACTATTGGGCTCAGTGGTAGAGCGCTCACCTAGTATGTGTGAGGTACTGGGTTCGATCCTTGGTACCACATAAAAATAAACAAATAAAATAAAGGTACTATGTCCCATCTACAACTAAAATCTATATATGTATTTTAAAAATTTAACTACAAAAGTTTCTTTTTCTGAGTCCAACCAGTTAGGTGTGTATTTGTTTGTTTAATTTTTAAAAACCAGTTTTAAAAATGTTTTTAAAATCTTCAATGTTTATCAAAAATGTTTTTAAAATCTTCAATGTTTATCATTTCTTTCATTGACCACCTAAAGAAATAATTGACTTACATATAGGTGTAATGTTGCATGAAAATATGTACTGTAACTTTTAATATAAAAATTGACGGCTCAACAAGATATTAACATGTTTTGTAAGATTGCTCAAAGAGGGGCTAGGGTTGTAGCTCAGGGGTAGAAAAACATGCCTAGCATGTGGGAGGCACTGGGTTTGATCCTCACCACCACATAAAAAATAAATAAATATAGGGCTGGGGTTGTAGCTCAGTGGTAGAATGCCTGCCTCACACACATGAGGCACTGGGTTCGATCCTCAGCACCATATAAAAATAAATAAATAAAGATTGTATCCATCTACAACTTTAAAAAAATCTTTAAAAATAAATAAATAATAAGTATTTTGTCCACCTAAAAACAAGATTTTTTTAAAAAAAAAAACTTGAGATCAGCCGCATGACCTTGAGTTTCCCTTCTCACGCTCAGTTCTGTTAATGTATACGATAGTAGTCATAATCATCTGTAATGTTTAAATTATTGTTTCCCTTTCCCATTTCACCCCATTACTAACTACTTAGTTGAATTTCCCGTAAGGGAAGCACTTGATATGAATCAGTCCATTATAACCATGAAGAAGGTTCTGACATGGCACAAGCTAGTAAACTTTGAAACTAAATTAGGAATTTATTTTGAAATTATATGTAATAAAAACATGACAGATTGCTACTTGAGAAGCCTACTATGAATTTATCCCTCCTACTTTAATTCTAATTTTCAGTAGAACATAATGTAAAGAGCTTGCCAAAATAAAGTAATACCTTCAACCGAGAACCTACTCCAACAGTCACCAGATTTTGAAAAAAGGTGCAGTATTAATGCCGATATGATTTTAAACCAGTTTCTCATTAAAAACATGTGTTCAAAAGCCATGCATGATGGCATGTATCTGTTATCAGCAGGATCACTTAAATCCAGTTTTACCAGCCCAAGTAATATAGTCAGACCTTGTCTTTAAAAAGAAGAGAAAAATAAACATTGATTGCTAAGTATAGTGAGAAATATAAAGAATAAGGAAGGGTAAGTAGATAGTACCTGCATTTAGAGGTGGACGCATAAATGAAGCTTATGTAAGAACAGATTGATAAAAACCAAGATAGATGTACCAAGTAGAGACTGTGACTGGGTAAAAAAAGAATGTGCCCCAGAGGTGCATAGCATAATGCATGATTAAGAGGACAGAATAACCAGACTTCCTTGCTGCCACCTGTAGGATTTAAGTATATATCATATATCATATATATATCATATAAGTGTAGCTGAATTGCTCTTGATAGAGTTTCATAATCTTGATAGCATTATGTAAATTTTGGTTTTGGGGGTTTTGTTTCCAGAGAAAACAAATGTTATAATCTAAAGCATAAAATAATGTCCTGTATAAATCGGTTATATATAGTAGCTCTGAAAGTGCCACAGAATTTATATCTACCATAATTGTTTTTGCTCAGTCACAACAACCTCTAGAAGATCTTGATGCACAGCTGAGAAGAACGCTTAGTCCAGAGACTATTACAGTGACATCTGCAGTTAGTGTAAGTGTTTAAACCCTTGATAAAATCTCATAACCCGAGGGGCTCAGTGGTAGAGCGCATGTATGAGGCACTGGGTTCAATCCTCGGTGCCACATAAAAATAATAAGTAAGTAAATAAATAAATAAAGATATCATCCATATAAAATCTCTTAACATGAATGTATCATATTTCTGCAACACAAAATGTAACCTAAAAAATTATTAATATAACATCTTTTCAGAGTGCCTGCTTGTTCCAGACAACAAAAAAGAGATCAAATCAAAGTGTAACTGATACTTTTTATGTACCTCTAACTAGTGTATATCTCAGATCAGTCCTATGGATTTTGCATTTATGCTTTGTAGTAGGCTAAAACTATTTTTCAGTGGAGCATGACTGTAATCCCAGCTACTAGGGAGGCTGAGGCAGGAGAGTTGTGAATTCAAACTCAACCTAAGGAACATAGTGAGATCCCCATTTGAATAAAGAAAAGGAAACAGCTAGTTTTCTATAGAAATACTTATGTATTTCCATGACTGAGGAGAATTGATACTAATATCTAAAGCATGAGATATTAGCAGATTAACGAGCCTATGTTGGTGTTATTGGAACAAGAAGATTATTATACATGGGGCAGTGGTAGTTTCTTAGCATAAGACTTTTAAGTGTTCTGTGAGAAAAATTAAGAAAGAATGAAGAAGGATTAAGACTCAAGTTTTCTTTAAAAAACTGCCTTTCTGCCAAATGCGGTGGCACACCCCTGTAATTCCAATAACTCTGGTGGGTGAAGCAGGAGAATTGCAAGTTCAAAGCCAGCCTCAGCAACTTAGCAAGGCTCTAAGCAACTTGGTAAGACCCTGTCTCAAAATAAAAAGGGCTGGGGATGCGGCTCAGTGGTTAAATGACCCTGTTTTCAGTCCCCAATACCAAAAAAAAAAAAAAAAAAACCAAACATTTTTTTTGGTTGTAAAAGAAAATTCCCTTAGATATAAATGTTTCTTCACCATATACTATATTTCACTTTTCCAAAGACCAGAAAAAAAGGTAACAGGTCAAAAGTATTCTTGATTAAAGCTAAAGATTTTGTGGTATCTGTGTGTGTATGTGTTTTGCAGCCTGTGTCCATGGTGGCTCCAACAGCAGTTACAGAAGCAGGAGCACAGCCTCAGAAGGATGGTGAGAAACATCCTTCTTCCTTTCATATTACTACTCCCAGTCCTGCCTATGATTGATAATAGAGGTCACTGTTTCAAAGGCACAGTCTTTAGCATGTTGGCATATTTGAGACTATTATAAGGAACATTTTTACGTATTTCCATGACTGAGGAGAATTGATACTAATATCTAAAGCATGAGATATTAGCAGATTAACGAGCCTTTGTTGATGTTATTAGAACAAGAAGATTATTATACATGGGGCAGTGGTAGTTTCTTAGCATAAGACCCTTTGTTCTTAGGTAGGCAAGATCCTTGCAAGATTAGGAAATTGAGGCCTTTATAAAAGTGAATTTACAACTAACTTCTTGACTTTTGTGACACTGGACATATAGAGATAAAAATCAGCTTGAAAAGCCAGAATAACATTTCGTACAGAGATTAAATATAATTAAATTAACTAGTTTAAATATTGTTTTTATTCAAGCTAATTATATATTGAATTGACTTATTTTAAAAGAAATAACTTAAAAATCAATGATACATTAGAAATGCTAGAAATAGACAAAATAAAGGAAACTGTAAATTATCAAAACACATACCATAAGTAAATACAATAAAAGTTGATTACTTATATTTACCACCAAATAAAAGGGAATGTAGAATGTAAAGAAAGTGGCCTTTTAAATCTTCAAGAAGATGGGATATTTCAACTAAATAGCCATCTGGGAAAAACTAAAAGTGGATTGTCAACTTAGTCCAAAGTAAAGTCTTAAATGGATCAAAGATGAAAGATATCATAAAAATAGTACTACGTAAGAATACATGAGAGGAATATTTTCCTTAATTTTTTCCCCCAACTGTGTAGAGCAGAGTCAACAAACTTTTTTACCAGATAGTAATATTTTAGACTTTTCAGGATGCAGTCTTATTCAGATTTCCTGGTCAAGCCCCAAAGCAGCAATAGACTAATGCAAATGATTGAATCTGATTGTGCTCTTGAATTTGGTACACTGATCATAGTTTGTTCTAATCCCTAATAGAGAGGATTGTGTTAAGTTTAATATTCAACCTAGAGCAAGCAGTAATAAATTTCAAATTTGTTGAATGTAGTAAAAATGCCATTGGGTATAAAAATAAATGAAAAATTGGGGAAATACATATGTGGTGGTGGTGGAATGTCTGAGTGTATCTTTATCATAGAAGGGACTAGTTTTGCTAACATAAAGAATCTGGCCAGGCACAGTGGTGCACACTTGTAATCTAGCAATTCAGGATGCTGAGGCAGGTCAGGATCACAAGTTCAAGGCCAGCATGGGGCATATAGCTCAATGGTAAAGCACCCCTGGGTTCGATCTCCAGTATTGTAGGGGGCAGGTCCTGAAATTCAGCATAGACCCAACAAATATAAGATACAGAAAAATAAATTTAGACATGAAAATACTTAACTTCCTCAATGATAATAGAAATTGAAAGTAAAACTACAAAGGATAGCGTTTCTCACGTCTCATTGGTAAATTTAGGAGTTTTAGTAGCCACTGGTATGTTGTTAAAGCCTTTGGGGATCAATTTAGTAATGTCTAAGTTTTAAAAGCAAATTATTTAATAGTTCCATTCCTTAGTCCACATATCTATAAGACATTATGTATTAGAGCACTTTTAAAATAGCAAATTTCTGAAAAATTTAGATGTTCATTGGTAGAAGCCTGATTAAAATATGGCACACTGAAAAAACAGACACATATATATATATATATGTATATATATATATATATATATATATTACAGAAATAAAATTCAAAACTCTGTATTCATTAAAAAGAATGAGGCACTGAGCTGGGGTTGTGGCTCAGAGATAGAGTGCTCGCCTAGCATGCATGAGGCACTGGGTTCGATCCTCAGCACCACATAAAAATAAAATAAAGATTATTTCCACCTATAATTAGAAAATAAATATTTTAAAAAAGAACAAGGCATTGATATGAAATACTAATTACATGGAATCATCAATCAGTATTCTAATTGTATAAAATAAGGAAAATACATGCTGAAGTATGCCTTTAAAATTCAGAATAAAAACAAATAGTTGTCCCTGGGGAAAAGGACCTGAGTGGCTTTGAAGTTGCTTAAACTACTTATGAATGATTCTTAAGAACTATACTATCCTGTTTTATAGGACTTTACCTGAGTGTTCAATTGAGAAAATAAATTTAAACTGGTTTTCATTTTAAAGTAGATCTTTAATATACTTTTAGCCAAAGGGAATAGAAGGTAACTTTTTAAAAGAGGGTGATAATTTATCTTCCTCCTCTATGTATTTGTTTCAGTTTCCCAAGGCACAGAAGGCCCTGTCCTAGCAACTAGTTCAGGAACTGGTGTTTTTAAGATGGGACGATTTCAGGTATGACAATCATTTTCTTTGCCTTGATTCCCTCTTTTTTCGGGTGGTTATGTATATAATAAAATTGTTACCTACCTATAATTATATTAATTCTACCTAATATAATTCTTTTTCATAGTACCTGATAACTGTCATCTTCCTGTCATATAAGTAATATATACTAATTAAAGGAACTATGAAATACTTAGAACAGTAGAGAAACAATAGATAATCATACTAACTTTCCAACACATCCCACAAGATTACTTGTTTTTTCTAAAACTGGCAGCTGCTTCTCTTCGAATATCGTGTAATTCTTTTTTCCTCAAATAGTAATTCGTTTACCTAACCATTCTTCTATTGGTCATTTCTAATTTTTTCATCATAATAAGGAAAATAAAAGTGAACATATTTTTTCCCCCTTTACAATTCTGGGGATTGAACCCAGATTGAACCACTGATCTGTTACCCAGCCTTTTTATTTTTTAAATTTGAAACATGATCTCATTAAGTTGCTGAGGCTGACCTCGAATTTGGGATCCTCCTGCCTCAGCCTCCCTGGTTGCTAGGATTACAGGTGTGCTTCATCATGCCCACCTGAACATCTTTATGTGTAAAAACTTTTTATATTTATAATAATTTTCTTAGACTTAACTCTGTAAATGAAAATACTGAGTCAGCATCAAATGATACCATATTTTCTCATCTGATCCAACCAATGAGCAGTTTCTCACTCTTAGTACATAGAGTTAAATAAGTTTTGCAAATAATTTTTTAAACTTTTCAGAACTACTTTCATATTAATAATTATGATAGCCCCTGGAGTTGGGGATAGTAGGTGATTTTTCTCACTTGTAAACTGAGGTTGTTTTTTGTTGTTGTTGTTTTGTTTGTTTTCGTTTTGGGGACTGGGAGGGGATTGTTTTGATTTGGTTTTTGTCTGTTTTGTTTCTGGTCATACTGGGGATTGAGCCCAGGAGTGTTCTACGTCTCAGCCTTTGAGCTACATCCCAACCCCCTTTTCATTTTACTTTTTGAGACAGAGTCCTGCTTAAGTGACCTAGGTGGGCCTTAAACTTGAGATCTTCCTGCTTCAGTCTCACAAGTAGCTAGAGTTATAGGCAAACATCGCTGATCCTGGCTATAAACTGAAGTTCTCTTGAGTTTGTAGTTAGGCCGAGTTTGTATCTGTAAAACATGGACAAACCAGGACAAGGATGTGGATCCTCCTTTTGTACCTTTTAGTGGTATTTATTTATTTTTTCTTGGTACCAGGGATTGAACCCAGGTGCATTTAACCACTAAGCCACCTTCCCAGTCCTTTTTGGCTTTTATTTTGAAGCAAGGTCTCCCAAGTTACTTAGGGCCTCACTAAATTGTCTGAGGCTGGCTTTGAACTCTAGCTACTCAGAATCTACATCTCAGTATAGATGTGTTGTTCTTTGTAATGATATTTGATTTATTTTTACAGTCCAAGATGGATAGACTATGTAAGATTCAGCCTGTTGATTGACTAGAAAATAAAGTGATTCCTTTTTTTTTTTTTTTTTTTTAGCAGTCTATGCTAGAAATTAAATGTCAGGGACTTCACTTTTCAATCATACTCTGTTCTTTTTCCATCAGGTTTCAGTTGCAATGGATGATACCCAGAAAGAAGATAAAAATAAGACAGAAGATGCAAAGTCTGTTCATTTTGAGTCTAGTACATCAGAGTCCTCAGTGCTATCAAGTAGTAGTCCAGAGAGTACCCTGGTAAAGCCAGAGCCTAATGGGATGACAATCCATGGCATCTCCTCAGATGTGCCAGATAGTGCCCTTAAAACTCCTGCCTCAGAAGCAAAGTCAGAAACTGGGCAACCTACCAAGGTGGGACGTTTTCAGGTGACAACTACAGCAAACAAAGTGGGTCGTTTCTCTATATCAAGAACTGAGGACAAGATTGCTGAGGCAAAGAAAGAAGGACCAGTGACATCTCCTCCTTTTAGGGATTCAGAACAAGCTGTTCTCCCTGCAATAATACCAAAGAAAGAAAAGCCTGAACTCTCAGAGCCTTCACATCTAAATGGGCCATCCTCTGACCTGGAGGCTGCTTTTCTAAGGGGGGATGTGGATGATGGTTCAGGTAGCCCACATTCACCCCGTCAGCTGTGCTCGAAGAGTCTTCCCATTCAGAATCTAAGTCAAAGCCTTAGTAATTCATTCAATTCCTCTTACATGAGTAGTGATAATGAATCAGACATTGAAGATGAAGACTTAAAGTTAGAGCTTCGACGACTAAGAGAAAAGTAAGTGTATTTTCTCCTGGGAGTGACTAATGGCACATATTATATTAAGACAGTGGATCCCAGTGGCAAGATTAATGGTCTTTTCACTACTATATGCTAGTGTGGTATTCCTTCTACAGAGAAGGTGATATGCAAAAGTTCAAGTTGTTTCAATATAATTCATTCCCTGTCTTCTCATCAGAATTTAAGACTTTTCTAGTTATGGGATTTCCTTAAGCACCTCTATATTATCACTGTAATGTTATTTTTTTTATCATGCATATTTTAGTAGCCATTTTGTTTAAAAAACAAAGTACTGTTGAAGGCCAATTATAGAGCTCAAAGATCACATGAACTGATTACAGTTTACTATTCACATCTCAAAATTTCCTAGAATAATAAAAATGAGGACAACAAAATAGAAAACTTAAAAAAAAATCAAACGACAAAAACAATACTCGAAATTATCATGACACATTTGAATTCTTTTTCTAGAACCATGAGTTTTTCTTAAGGAAAATAGCCAAAGTCATTGTAATTGGAAATGTTTCCCTTTAGTGACAACATATGAGGTGGCCATGTTGAAACTAATTATTTTCATTATATTTTTCACTTTCATTAATAAGAATTTCACCATCTGCTTTTATGTTTATTTCTGAAGAAGCATTTTAGACATGAGACTAATTTGGGTGTTTCTTAAATGGTTATAAACAATGAGTTTTCTGAATCAATAATCAGTGATATTAATATAGACAAGAAGTCTCTTGTCTAAAATGTTATTTTTAATGCAAGGAAGAAGAAAAAGTTACTAAGTTAAAAAAGTATTAAATTTATCCTTTAGAAAAGATTTTTATTAAATGTTTATCCATATGTAATTATCTAATATTTTCACTGTAATTACTCCATTACATATTAACCAAATTATAATTGAGTCAGTTAATTAGAGAGCACTTTCTGAAGTTCCCTATGCTGGCCATGTGTCCTCATTTATATTATTTATTTTGCCTGGAATTCCTACCAGATCACTCTTCCCAGTCCCATCCCCATCTCCAAACAATACTTAATTCTTTCATTTTCTATATCTACTCCTATTTGTCCTGCAAGATGCCTTTCAGATCTATTACTAAAAATATTTCTTCATTCTCTAATAAAGTCAAATACTATTTCTTTTATCCTACACTGAATTATATATATTCTTCAGTTTTATCATTTCCCCACTCTATTTGTGTTATATTTGCTTTTCTTAGAATGCAAGAATTCCTCCCAAGCAGGAACAGTATTCTCTTCTAATACTAAACAAGTTAGTATTCTGAAATCCTAGGACTTAACATAATTTAGTCCCTAAATAGAAGAAATTGAAATAAATGGAAACTTTTACATATCTTCAAAGTGATTTCTACGTATAAATAATGTCAGTGGCATGTCCCAGATTAACCATGAAGATGGCATTGTTTTCCAACACTTAAGAACACTATATCACTATAGTTCATCACTTAAGAATACTATGTCATTATAGTTGACCTTTTATTTCTACCCATGCATAATGGTCAATAACCATCACAGTGAAAGTACCCCTCATTATTTGGGGGAATTCTGTCCCAACACAGTGATTAATTGCATCATCACTGTATGGTCAATAGCAAGTCCTTAATCTTTGGCAAGCTTTGCTCAAGTTATAATGTTTCCCTTTAATGACAACATATATATGAGGTGGCCATGTTGAAACTAATTATTCTCATTATATTTTTCATTACATTTTTTATGTCATTAGCACTTCTCATCACTGTTAACCATTCCTGGCTGTTTGTTCATCTACCAAATGAACCTGGTAATGGCATTGAGAAGTATAATTATGTTGACAAGTTTTGTTAATTTTATTTTTCTCAAATTGGATCAGAATAGCAAATTTACCTGTCTTGCATATGGCCTCAGAAGTCAGGAAATGTTTTTTCCATAACACCTTATCAACTATTTGTAGTTGGCTAGAGTTATTGTGAGCTTTTTTGCTGCTGTGACTAAAAGACCTGACCAGAAAAATTTTAAGGAAAGAAAAGTTTATTTGGGCCTCATGGTTTAGAAGTCTCAGTCCACGGACAGCTAGCTCCATTCCTCAGGGCTCAAGGTGAGACTGATCATCATAGCAGTGTGTGCGGCAGAAGGAAACAGCTCACATGGTGATCAGAAAGTAGAGAGAGATTCCACTTGCCAAATACAAATATATACCCCAAACAGTTCCCACCTCCTCCAGCCATACTCTAGCACTTCAGTTACCGCTCAGTTTATCCCCATTTGGGGAGGGGGGACGTTGAATTCACTGATTGGATTAAGACTCCGGCAACGCAGTTCTTGCATTGTTTCCTCTGAATCTTCTTGCATTGTCTCACACGTTGAGCTTTTGAGGGACACCTCACATCCAAACCATAATAGCTAGGAACTTGTGGGAATATGGCTTGGATAATGGAGACTAACAAGGTAGGTTAATGACAAACTAGAATTTCATGATGTAGTACATTTGGGGAAAGGGTTCATAACTAAATACTTAATTGCAAATTTTAAAATACAATTTAATTATTTTTTGAATGAAGATGGTAATAATATTTTGAATTATGTTTCATTATCTTTTGTAGACATCTTAAAGAGATTCAGGACCTGCAGAGTCGCCAGAAGCATGAAATTGAATCTTTATATACCAAATTGGGCAAGGTTCCCCCTGCTGTCATTATTCCCCCAGCTGCTCCCCTTTCAGGGAGAAGAAGGAGACCCACTAAAAGCAAAGGCAGTAAATCTAGTCGCAGCAGTTCCTTGGGAAATAAAAGCCCACAGCTTTCAGGTAAAAATAAAAAAACCTGGACCAAATCAATCATCTTTGGTTTTTGTGTCCAGCTGAATATGTGATCTAAGAGTTTGGCAAAAGCCAATTCTTGCTTCTTTGACTTCTTAACTCCCTATACTTATTATCCCTTAAAAATCTGTAGAAGTAGTCTGGATGACTACAATGGCTTTTTCTATTGCAATGTTGCTGCTACTAATAGTCTTCATTTATAGTTGTTCTTGAGGATAAACACTTAACTTTGCCTGTTAACACAACACTCACATTTAACCAAACTTTTGTGCATTTGGAAACAAATGTATTTTCCCCTATTTATTAAACCTGAGGTAGAATCTTCCTTTTAACGGATGAGTTGCATAATTGCAAGTATGATGAATGTGAATGGCATAGATATTTGAGTGTGTGTAAGTAGTAACATCCTTGATGCAGCATTTTATTTCATTTGTCTGTATTGAGATAAAGAATTTACTAGTGATTACAAAGGTGTTTAAATAATAATCTGTGATAATGTATCATGGTCTACTTTAATTGGAATAGAGAGTTTTTATCCTCAATGAAAAGTATGTAGTGTTAACAGGTAATTAGCTGCAAAGTTGGGGGGGGGAATAAAAGGCTAAAATAAGTGTTTATTTCATATTTGCTCTCCAGGTCTAATTTAAGAAATTGGAGAGCAGCTGAAAATATCTTAGCAGCTTTCCATTCACTGGAAGCCTTCATAGATGCCTAAACCTTTTATTGAGCATATTAGGACCAATTTATACAACCCATTGGTAGAGATATTATAAGGGAGATTAGCTAATTTGGATTCTAACCCCAGTTTTAACATACTTTTTGAATGGATTTCTACTCACCCAGTAACTAAGAAGCAGAAGTTAGTCAGATTTGAATAGAATTGACCTAGCAACTTAAAGATACCTACCAAGAAAAATTTGAAATATCCATTCCTCTTTAGTCACCTACATCATTCTTTGATAACTCTTTGTATCTGATTTGATGTATATTTATAAAAAAGTCTAAGCAGAGCCAATTAGTCAGTGGCTTGGCTGAATACTTAAAACCCAGCAGCATCTCAGGAGGCTGAGGCAGGACAATTGCAAGGTCAAGGCCAGACTTGCCAACTTAATGAGACTCTATCTAATAAAAATACAAAGGGCTGGGGATGTAGGTCAGTGGTGGTTCAATCCCCGTACCACTTTAAAAAGAAAGTATAATGATAAAGAAAGTATAATGATTTGTATAATGAGCCATCATTTTTTTTCCTAGTAGGGAAAAAAAAATGATTTACAGAAATGTAGAATGGAATTTTTACACATTTTGACCCATGATTAATCCTCAGTAGAACAAATTAAAGAAATAAATACATTGCCTATTGAGTGCATCAAGGAAACTTCACATGTGTCCTCAGCCCATTTGGTCTTTTGGCAGGTAACCTTTCTGGTCAGAGTGCAGCTTCAGTCTTGCACCCCCAGCAGACCCTTCACCCTCCTAGCAACATCGCAGAGACCGGGCAGAATCAGCTGTTACAACCTCTTAAGCCATCTCCCTCCAGTGATAACCTCTACTCGGCCTTCACCAGTGATGGTGCCATTTCAGTACCAAGCCTTTCTGCTCCAGGACAAGGTAAGGAAGAGATCAAAGCAAACATCATCTTCCAGAAACATTAAAATGAAGAAATTGCCATACCTGGGAGAAATGCCTAATGAGTAAACCTATTGGCACTAGCTGACCTGAACATGGTCTACATATTATACACTGATGTATCTTTGGGCTCAGCAGAGAAGTTGAGTGATGATCAGAATCATTGAGTTCATTGCTCCCATTAGGTGAGCTATTTTCCAAGGGATTACTGTGAAAAGTTACATCTACAGTCTTTATAAATAACTTATTTGTGTTTGGAATGTAGGCTTTACTGCTAGGCTGAGATATCCTGGACCAAATTCTAAGGAATTTTAGCAGTTTCTAAAAAACAATGTGTTTTCTTAGCTATTGTAGACTTTTTTAAGTATGGGAGTAACTAAGATGACTAGCCCTACTATTTAACTTTTCATCTATAATCTCTTCTTTCCAAATATAGTTTTGTTCATTAACAATTATTGCTCAAACCATTCCTGCAGAAGAAGGAGCTTTCAGTAACATTAGAATAAGAAGTGAAAAGAGTTGAATATCTGGGCAGAAAATAATGAAAAAAATAAAGATACATTGGCTTTACCACAACTTAGTAGAAAATAGAGATTTAAGAGTTGCTAAGGAACACAAACTAGCTAACATTATTCCAACTGAGAAGAGCTTCAGTATTGTGCAAAAGGAGGGAACTGAGGCCTGATATTTCCTGTCTTACATATCTGACCTTCCCAGAAGCTTTGTTCTTCTCTGTGCCATCTTAGTGCTTTTCACCACTCAAGCCTCAAGTTTCTAACATCTTGTAGTTGTGTTCTGTCTCTTCTCCTCTCTCTGTTCTTCCGTTTTCCCCCTCTCACAGGCTGTGCGAAGTTTAACTGTGCATCTGAGCAGGTGACATTCAAACCTGGTGGCAGGAGGACCCGATTTCTGAGTACGCCCTGCTTGGCTCTTTGTGTGTAACACCTTTACTCCTTCCTTGTCCTTGTTTTTCTGCTGCTTGGATCTGATGTGTCACGCAGTCCATTTTCATTTGTCTCTTTGTGTATCATCTAGTCAGTGGCTTGGCTGAATACTATTGCCCTCAGAAGTTTGGGTCCCTGTGTTAATTATGGTAAAAGATGTAAAAATAATATTGGATTTCTATAGATGTCAAAATAACTCTCTAGTAGAATTGCTTCTTCCTAGATCCATGATAGATATGGATCCAGGATAGATAAGATATCAAGACTTTATACTGGGTCATTGAGAGTAATGAAGACCACACCTAGTCATATTCAATATTGTCTCTCAGCTAGCCCCAGCATTAGGAGTGACAAAAAGCATCTTAACCACTGATGCGCTTAGGTCCTTGAAACAGGTAAAAGTTTACCATATTTTCTATTCTTTTCAGAGTAGGTGGGAATCTTGTTTTCTCCTCATTAAGCCTAAACATCTACTAATTGAAAAGATGGTAGAAGTTTCTTCATTGGATCCATTACTGCCCTCTTTCCCCATGAGATTAGTAGTTCAAAAGGGGGTTTACTGTGGTTATCCAAGATAAAGCATTTATTCTATTAATGACCAAAGCCCAGCCCAGCCACCTGCAAGTGAAAGCTGCCTTTTTAATCTGATTGCTGGGATTTCCTAGCCATATATATTATATATATATATTTATTAGTTGTTCAAGACAGTACAATGCCTTACATTTAAAAGCAAAGAACAGTAGCAAATCACCCATCTTCCCCATATGTGAAGAAGACAGTTCCTATCTCCTGGGGCATATAAATCAGATAAGATCATAGACACAAAAATAAATGACTCTTGGGACATAGTCATGGTCGATGGTACTCTCTGATTAGCCAGTGCCTATCTAGCACTTAGTAAGTGATCAATAAATGTTTATTAAAATAAAAATTTCACAAAGCTCAACTTTAAATTTTTTTATTTTTATTTATTTTTTATTTTATTTATTTATTTATTTATTTTTGGTTAGAATTTGGATAACTATCTGTTAAGGCCTCAAACTTCTGGTGTGGTTATTGAAGTGCTTTTTAAATGCATGTGCTAAGGCCATCAGTGTTTGAGTATATGGTTCAGAGATCCTGGGCCTCTTCATGGTGAGAAGTATTTACACTCTCCTTTGTCCTCTGTAGTGACCAAATTTCAGAGTACATTGAAATTACATTTAATTTCCATTTCCCTCACTGTCACATTTGTAAATCTTTCTAGTTTCCCTATTCTTTTTCACCTGAGTTAATAATGAATTGGCTCTATTTAAGGTGATTTTTTTACCACCTTTCCCACGTGTTGCTAGTCCAGAGATTTTTTTAAAAAGAAGAGGGTGAAAGACATTATACAGCTTGGTAATTTTCCAAGCTTGTGTAATTTTAGAACATTCACATCAATATTTTTTCTGGTTAGACTAGCCTGGACAATGCCTATTAGCACCTTGACACTTGAATAAGCATTTAATTTGCATGTCCAGCTAGAAAGATGAAAGGACATTAGTAGTAGGAGACAAGTGTTTTGAAATAAATTTGATTTGTCAGGCCTATGATATACAGCCTGAAATGATTGAGATACACACACACACACACACACACACACACACACACACACACATACGTTCCCTGTCTTTTGAGAGGGAAGAAAGAAAACAGACTTTTTTTCTGGAAGTATGAGATGATAAGTATCACTTTAATTCTGTTAGTTCTCATCAGACATTTAAAGGTAGGTGGTATCACACCCCTTTGTTCAAATAAAAGTGATTAAAAATATTAAATTTTTTCACTTCCCCTTTGGTCTAAATGAGAGGCCATACATCTTTGAAGGCACATCAGGATTCAGTATGTAAGCTTGCTGTACAAATCCTAAGAGGCAGACTTAAAAATATGGGGAAAAAACAGGTATCTGTAAGGAGCTGGGGGCCTTATTAGTTTGGGTTACATTATTCTGTACTCTCAAAATAATAGATAATGGTTTTGAAGCACGGCTTGGCTTAATGCTCTGTTTATGTTCAAAGGTTGCTTGTTTTCCACATATTTTTAAAGATTTTTCTGGAAGGGAAGGGGTTAGTGTGTTTATCTAGAATATAGAAATATAATAGCCAATTTAAATTAAAATTGTAACAGTGGTACTAATTTTATTGAGTGCTTTATAACAACCCAGCAGGAGAAACAAGAAGTGAGACAGTATCAGTGGAAACACTGCTTGAGTGTTTGAAATTCAAGCAGTGAGACCTTAGGTACTGGAGTTTCTCCCCTTACCCTTTGAAAAACAGAGATTGAATGTGGAAACTCAACACATTTCAACAGGCAGCAAGGTCTGTCAGATCACTGTGTGAAGGCTAACAGCCAGTTAGATAACATCCCATAGAATTTTGTCTATGTCAAGGCTACCAGGTCCCACCCACCCATCTGTCTCCCTTCCTGCTTTCTCTTGCTGGGACTCTGTATGCTGTTTGGAGAATCTAAAGATTTTACACTGATGTTTCTTTATCTTTAACACACTGCTCTCTCTTTGTGCTTCAGGGAAGATGGTGAAAAAAGTTTGTCCTTGCAACCAGCTCTGTAGTAATTATCTTTTCTGTTACTTTTGGTCCTTGATTGCAAAGCCTGTTATCCATGAGTTCTTTGAACTCTGAAGCTTCATAATTCCAGCTTCCCAACTTCCATCTATCTCTGCACCTTTTCTAATGTATTCTTTAACATGCTTAATTGCTAACTCCTGGCTATAATATCAGATTGAGAAACCACCTCATAGTCAATGCTCTCCCCATGTAAACCTAGCTCAATGACAGTCATGGATTGGTAGTGCCTGTGGATGTGCTTGGGGAGCTAAGGGGTGCCTAGCTCCTGTAGGAAAGAGTCCTTTAGTTAGCAAGTAGGTACCAAGCACTGTTCTGCACCCTGTAGAGACTTAGCAGTTATCAAAGTGGACAGAGTCTATGCCCTCCTATTGTTTACATCATGGTGGGAGACAGCTTCTAGATTAGTGCGGGAGAGAAATACTACTTTGGAGAGTTTGGCTTCTTAGACTGGGGTCTTTTCATATAAGTACAGATAATTCAGCAACCCAGCAGGCCACCTAGCAAGAGTTAACAAGAGAACTCTACTCTTGGGATACCAGGCAATAAGTTGTGAGTCCTAATGGGTTATGGTTCCTAAGATCTGGCAGCATGGAGGTAGGGGAGATGTTTTTTTTGGCAGGAAGGAATCAAAACATGAATTTGGGGAGGTTAAAGTCTATACCACTTTTTAGGGCTTTTCAGAAGGATTGAAAAAGTTTTCAAGGTGAGTTAGCTGTTCTTTAGAAGGTCTCTCTCTACTAGTCAGGTCTATGTTATAGTCAACCTTGCTTTTCCTAGGGGTGAATTTCTCATCAGAAAGGGATTTTTGTTTCCTTTTTTAACTGGAAGCCTATTTACAGAAGCCAAAGTTAAAAAGTTAACTGTATGGTTCATACTCCTTCATGTCATAAGCCCCACTTTCAGAATCCAATACTGGGTAATACAGGTTAAAATGAAAAGTGAAATTTAGTTCTGAAGGGGCCTCACACTATCAAGAGCAGTTAGCATCAGATTAGAGAGGTGTGACTCCCAGCATGAGCTCTCTGTGGTTAAGCAGTGCTCACCTCCACTCAGCTTCTCATATTTGGCATTGGACAGCCCTGTTCATTCATGATGACTTCTGTTTGTTTCACTAAACAGTAGTCACCCTAAGCAGGATGCCAGTCCCCAATGCATGCTGTGTGCTTGCTGTCTAGATTTCTTTGTTATCGTGATTGCCCGTCCTCATTGCCTGTACTTTCTGTTTCCCTCTGTCTCACATTTGCTATTTGAGGAAGGCTGTTTCCTGTGCTTTTATACTTTTCCACTTGGGTTTCCTGTACTCCAGGGGAATCCACTCTTCCCCTTATATACCCTGTGTGCAATGACAATACTCTGTGGCTCCAGCGGCACCACGTGAACTGTCACTCACACTGCAGTAGTTCCATGTCTTGCCACGGTGGTAAGAAGCATGTGACCTTCCTCACTCTGCACCTTCACCTCAGAATTAACTGTTCCTCTAGTGTAGACATGCTTGTATGTGCCATTCCCTGAGTGGAAAGACGGCAAATTGACTTGAAACCAGCAATGGATTATAAAGGCTGTAAGTGGCAGTGTTGCTTCAGGTGTGCTGCTGTGCTCTGGTGTGCTGCTCTGTCCTTGAAAGCAGGAAAACGCATGAACTTATTTAGCCCCACTATTACTTGGGTTTTGTCAGGCCTCCTGGCGCACAACTTATTTTAGTAGCTTTTATTTATTCTGCAGTAAATGTGAGATCTGTTAAGAAAGTGGGGGTGAGGAAAAACAAAATAAGACCATGACTCTTCTTTCCCTCTTCCCTAAAACTTGCCTCTTCGAATAAACCTTCAGTGTGCCCTCCAGCAGAGCCGAAATCAGGCAGGACACAGACTCCTTCTTCCTTTTTCATCAAACCATAGAAATAGAATTCCTTCATCATAACCCGAAAGCTTCCTCTACCCTCTGCACCCCTGCCTCAGCTGAACTGTCCTGTTGCTTCTACATGGGAGTGTTTGCTGCTCTGGGAAAAGGGGGAGAAGGTGTGAGAATCCTTGAACCAATTGAAACTGAGATCGTCTTCAGGAAAACATGTCTTCCTGAAGTTGATTCGGTCACCTCCCTTGCCTAATCTTTGTTCTTTACTCATGGAAAATTGAGAAGGGTTGAAGGCTTAACTCTTTCCAAGTTTATATTTACAAATTTATATTCGTGGGTCAAAGTGAAAAAAAAATTTAACAGAGCATGCTACTTGTCTTAATACTACTTTCTATTAAAGAATGACTTAAAAATGTTGCAATATCCACATGATTTGAGAACCCATATTCTCCATAGCCATGTACCCATCTCTGAACTTTTACCCCAACTTTAACCTGCCCAGTGCACAAGAAATCCTTCTTTTGCCCTGCATTCTGCAAACTTCCACAGCAGTGCTCCTTGTTGACCATATTATACTCTCACCCAGTGTGATGCTGGGAATAGAGCACTGGCAGAAAGTTCCAGTACTTTAAGATGCTTTGAAAGAGATTCCTGCCCTTCATACCTGCCATCTTCCTAAGTTGTTCAGACTTATCTGCAGTTACTGAAGAGAACCTGTTTTCATTACCCTTTAGTGCCAAAACAAATGCCTAAATAAAACCTTGTAATCTTCCTTTCTTGCATGGCTTCCCAATTCCTGTCCCCATTCTGTGCTTGCCATTTATCATCCTGTGACATTTTCCCTCTTCCTGGAATTAATAATCTAGACTCTTTTTTTAATGCTGCTATTGTCACTACTTTATAACTCCAGGAACCAGCAGCACAAACACTGTTGGGGGAACAGTGAATAGCCAAGCTGCCCAAGCTCAGCCTCCTGCCATGACATCCAGCAGGAAGGGCACCTTCACAGATGACCTGCACAAGCTGGTAGACAACTGGGCCCGAGATGCCATGAATCTTTCAGGCAGAAGAGGAAGCAAAGGACACATGAATTATGAGGTAAGGGCTTCTTTTTTGCCATTTTCCTAATTTCTCACAGTACTGCCTAACACAGATGAATCAGAGGTGATACAAACTACTAGGTCTAGTGTACCCTTTTATGCCACAACATTCCTTAGTAGCTTACTTAGAAAAACAAAATGAAAATCACCAAGTGCCCTTTTACTTTCCCGTCCCTGAATCCCTGACTCCTTATTGGTCAGCTCATTTTTTTTCTTCCCTTTTCCTTTAACATTCTAGACTACATGGGCATGTGTACACACACCTTCCTCCTTCCAATAGGCAATGTATTTTCATTGCTCCTAGAATTGTATTATTAAACTGCCCATTTTACCCCTGAGGGTATTATACCCCCACCAGACTTTCAACTTAGTTGTTTTTTGTTTTCAGGGCCCTGGAATGGCAAGAAAGTTTTCTGCACCTGGACAGCTTTGCATCTCCATGACCTCAAACCTGGGTGGCTCTGCCCCCATCTCTGCAGCATCAGCTACCTCTCTAGGTCACTTCACCAAGTCTATGTGCCCCCCACAGCAGTACGGTTTTCCAGCTGCCCCATTTGGCACTCAGTGGAGTGGGACGGGTGGCCCAGCACCACAGCCACTTGGCCAGTTCCAGCCTGTAGGAACTGCTTCCCTACAGAATTTCAACATCAGCAATTTGCAGAAATCCATCAGCAACCCCCCAGGTTCCAACCTGCGGACCACTTAGTGAGACCTAGAGACATTAATTGAGTAGATCTGGGGGCAGGAGATGGAATGCTGAAGGGAGGGTGGGGGGATGGGGAAGTAGCCTATATACTAACTACTAGTGCTGCATTTAACTGGTTATTTCTTGCCAGAAGGGAATGTTTGTAATACCGCTTTGAGCCCTCAGAATGGAGACTCTCCCTCCTTCTCCATTTATTGGAATGGGACAAGGAGAGAGCAACTTTCTCGTGAAGGGGCTGCTTCAGTCTATGCTTTCCTATTTATCTATACCCACCAGTGAGGCCTAGGGCTAGAAGAGAATCTTGTTATCAAGAAGCTACAAGAGAGCTCATTGTAAAGCCAGAGCCCATTTGTATCTGCAAGTGGGTACAGCTCTTAATTGTGGTACAAGCCCCAAATCCCTTACTCCCTCAAGAATTCAAACCATCAAACAATATAGGGTTCTCTCCTACTCTGCCCCCATCCCTGTTTCCCCCCCCCCTCCTCTTTTAGAACCCAGTGAAAAACACCAGGGGACTGGGGTTGCAACCCTTTCTTATAATAGGTCATTAGTGCTTTAAGCAAAAGATAATAGCAGCTTTGACTGCAGCATTAGCAATTAGGAAAAAAAAAAATACGTTCCCTGCGGACATGTAACTTTGCCATCAGTTTTGATGTGGAAACACTGTGATATATAAATGTTGTTGGACAACAGTAGTTTTAAGAGTAAAATATGAAAGGTTTAAAAAGTTCACACACAAAAAAAGCTAGCTCTGTCCTTTACTTATTGAGACACTTTAACTTTTTCCTTTGTACTTCCATTGTATTAGATAAATAAATGTGAATGTAAAATTGTATAAATTACTGTACTTGAATACTTCTGTTCTCCCAGTATTGCTTGCTGGATATTTTAGTGCCTTGGACTTCTATTGCTTCTGCCATTAGCATCGACTTACCAGATCCCAGATCAACAAAGGGCATGTGGAAAGAACATTTAAGTCCATGTGACCCCAGCAGTGGATATGCCAAAGGGAAATTGAAAAGAGTATTTTTTTTTTTTAAATCATTCAACAATTTTGTCTAAAGCAGGTGTAAGATAAGTAAGATGGGAAGTTGACATCAGTGGTTGAAAGCAGAAAGTTCTGTTTCAGGAATAGTGAGGGAGGGGTGTTACATCAAAATTGCACAATATAAAAGATTAAGGAAGGTGTGAGCTAAAAAAGAAAAAGAAAGGTTAATTAAAGGGGAAACACGCTTGTTTCGAAGATACCTGATGCCTGGCCAGATTGTCGTAATTCTTACTTATTTGAGCTGGGCTTGAACAGATGAGACCTGGAAGAAATTAAACATAAGGAGAAGGGGATGGGTAGCTCGTTTTTTAAGGTGGGAAGAGTGGCAGATGGAAAAAGTTGCTCCAAGAAAAAACATTTGGACAGCTCTCTTCATGCACCTACACCTTGCATTTCTCAGCTTGGGGTACTCTTATATTCTATGGAAAGCGGACCTACTTCTGACTTAATAAGCATTGTAGGAAAGAATGCTTTATTTCTGTTTTCTCTATGATGATGTCCAAATGGTTGCAAGATCATAATCTGTCGTGCCACCTATATTTCTACATTTATAACTAATATTCTCACATTGTTCATTTACATACTCCCCCTTCATAACTGCAACCAACCAGTATTATTTAATGCTATGCCTAGTTGTAATGGGCAGTTCTGTTACTTTCAGAACTTTCCAGAAATAAATACTGTTCTAATTGGCTATGTTTGGGATATTCTCAGAAGATGGGGAAAGAAACTAGGACTTTTTCTTGGGTGCTGCTTCTCTTGACTTAGTTGGGACATACCATATTTCCAACCTTTCACCCACCTCAATGGCACATCCCAGGAGTCTCCATGATAGGAAGAGCCTGGTAGCTATCCAGACCTTTTTTGTTCCATTTTGGCCCTGGTTCTATTTCTTTATTAAGTTGGCCTAGGCCCCAGAGATACCAATGAGAGCTAAAGGTTTCAGGGAGGTAGAAATGAAAAGGGCAGAGGTTCCAAGCCCTGCTGCAGAAGTGCTGACTTATTTTTCTGTTTAATTCTTGGGAAGAGGTAAGAGTGAGAGAAAGACGGTGCCGAGTAAATGGGAAATGGACCTCTTGAAGTGAATGAAATGATCCTTCTACCAGAGGAATGAGGGTGCCAAATGCAGCACATTGTTTTGTTATTTTTGGTTTAGCAATTTTGAGTTCTTTTCACTTATACACAAAAATAAGAACTGGTTTTATTTACTGTTGATTTTTCCCCCTCCTGTGGATGAAATAACTGAAGCCTAGAGGAATAAACTAGTGCTACTGAACTGTTTAAATTATTTTTGTTAATAGTACCCTTCAAGTATCTTTTTCCATATTAAAAAGAACTTTCTGAACTATAAATGTTTTCCTTACATTATTTAACAATGTACACTGTTTAAAAAAACAAACTGAATTCAAACCTTGGGGGTTTCTCAGCAGCCGTTAATTGTACATTTTGCACTAACTCTGGGTGTTGCGCTTCTTGTAAGATTGCGCTTTGTGCTTCAGTTTGTTATCTTTGTAGACTTATTTAATGAAACCATTCAAATAAACCAAACTTGCTTTTGTTGAGCTGTGGGGTTTCATTTCCAGGAAGTGCCTTTTTCATGTTCTCATTGGCTCTGTTGTGCAGTTTACAACTGGATTCCCATCCCTCTGGAACTTCAGCAGTGATGTTGCCCTCAACTAAGATGCTGCAAGGAAAGTGGACTTTTTCTGAGGAAGACATTAAGGATCTCACAAAGATGAATACACCAAATCCACGCAACAGCAATAAGGCTTTTTAGAAGACAGGCAAATTCAGGCAGGCAGGCACTGTCTCTTCATCTTCTAAAGGAACAGGAAAGGTCAGCAGCTGTCCAGTACTTTCAAGACTCACTTGCCTCACATTGGGGCACCATTATCAGTGGTCTGGGATCCAAAAAGTAAGAAGTCACTACTTCAAGATTAGGCCCAGAATGCACTTTAAAAAGTAAAACTGCAAATGCATTATTTTGGGAAAACAATCATGAAACATCTAAATACTGTGAAAAATAAATTTTATTTTAAAGTGGATTACATCTCACATTTTTACGAACAGCTACTAGTATTAAGTAAATTTGCTTTCTTGATCATTTCTACTCCCTACTTTTACGTCAAGTCTCTTGCCTAGTCCAAAATACCGCTATTCTGCTCCCCTTATTGTGAATTAGCATCCGCATATCAGAAAATTCAGCCTTTGGTTCTTTGAAATTGGCTTATTTCACTTAGCATGATCACAGTTCCTTCCATCCATTCATTTATTCTTTATGACTAATACCCCATGTGTGTATGTACTACTTTCTTTATTCATTGAAGGACTCCCAAGTTGGTTCCATAGTTTAGCTATTGTGAATTGAGCACCAATTTGCAGTCCCACTAACAATGTATGAGTGCCTTTTTCCCCCACATCCTTGCCAACATTTGTTGTTGCTTGTGTTCAATCAAATGATTGCCATTCTGACTAGAGTGAGATGAAATCTCTGAAGTTTTGATTTGCATTTCCCTAAATACTAGAGATGTTGAACATTTTTTCATTTATTTGTTGATCGATTGTATTTCTTCTGTGAAGTGTCTATTCAGTTCCTTTGCCCATTTATTGATTGATCGTGTTATTTGTTTGGTGTTAAGTTTCTTGAGCTCTTTATATATCCTGGAGATTAATGCTCTGAGGTGCATGTACCTTGATCTTCGATCATTATTTCTTTGATTAGTAAAGAATGTTGGTCTTAAAAGGATGCAGAATTGTGCTGTCATGAACCCACAACTGAGAGATTTTATAGTATTCCCTCTTACCCATAATTTTGCTTTCCAAGATTTTTAGATTAAACATCAGTCTAAATAATGTGATAAAATCATATGCTTTCCCACCCAGGTCATGAATCATACCTTTATCCAATATATCCATGCTATATGTGTTATCTATGCATTAGTTATTCTTCTTAGTTATTAGATCAACTTGGGCATTGTTGCCATGCTTGTATCGAAGTTCAAGTAACCCTTATTTAATGTCCACAAAGTGTAAGAACAGGGATGCCTGCAATTTGGATATGTTATATATAGAGAGAAGCATGAAAGTACTTTTGGAGCATGGCCTCTACATTGCTGTATATTGAGGGCAGGTAGACATTATCGAGTCCTAAAATGTCTACCTTTATTAATATTAAATAGCTTAGGAGTAAAGAGGAAAAAGCCTGAGGAGTCAAAAGACGGGTATTTCATCTGTCCTTGACCTCCCTACTGTAGCATGTGACAAGATTTTTCAAAGTGCTCAGCTTTCTCTGCAGTAGGCTTAACAGTCAAGTCTTCTGAAAAGGTTCAAAATGAATCAAGGTAATCCTTGGAAATCAAGTTCATTCCCCAGGAATGACGAATAATTTCAAGACCAAAAAGCAGTTTTCCAAAGTCCCTTTGTGACAGTCCAAGTAGGTCCTGAGTCATTTAAGATGGATCCAATTTCCTTTTCTTCATGTCCTGGCTCTTCCTATGAGATTCAGAGTTTCCTGTGGAAGATACAATGGCTTAAATACAGCTGCCATGTTTTTTAAAAATAAGGACTAGATAGAGGATAATTCTAGATTATATTAGTTAATGTTCCTAGTTCAGACTAAGAGCTCAAGAATGAAAACTACTGTTATGGGGAGTAGATCCCTTTGTTAATCCCTAGGCCAAGCAGACCTACTTTTAGAAGGAAAAGCTCTAAATGCAGTCATGTCTAAGGCTAAAAAGGGTAGCATCTGAAATCAGAAGCCCAAGAAAATGTTCTGGCTCTTAAACCCACTGTTTTCTTCCCATTTGCACTGCTTATTTACTGCCTTGGAATGATTCCATCCAATTTCTTAAAATGAAATATCATCCTTTAAAATTTAAAGAATTAAGCCCAGGATCTCCCTTTAAGTTTGTACCTAAACACATCTCACTGCTACGTGTTACATGCTGGTTAGTGCTGTAAGTCTCTGGGTGCCAGAGTCCAGATTTTTCTTGTGGCTTCTGGTGAAGATCGCTGTGTAGCATCCTGTCCTGATTGTTCAGGACTCGGGTGGCAGAGGTCTGGGGTGGATCTGGTCTAGATAAGGGCTTGACAATGTCCTCTAAATCTGGAGTCAGATCCCACATTTCAAGGTTGTCTTCAAGGTTCTCTAATGAAAATCACAGAAAAGCAAATTGTCAGCTACGAGTGTCTTCACAGAAAGCACTGGGAAAAGTGGTCACAAGAAATTCCAGGTCTTAAGTACCCAATAACAAAATTCACAATTTTTCTCTTCTTTGCCCTGAAAAGTATACTGAAGCTTCCCTTTGTTGGGACAACAGAAGAGCTAAACATATCTATGAAGTCAGAGCCCCTTAGTCTACCTGAAGGCCTCTTTACATTTTTCTAAAACTTCATATAGGTTAAAAAACAGACAAAAGTGAAGCCCCCACACACACTTTTTTGGGGGGTACTAGGGATTGAACCCAGGGACACTTTACACTGAGTAACATCCTTAAGCCTTAAGTTACTGAGGGCCTCACTAAGTTTCTGAGCCTGGTCTCCAACTTGCAATCCTCCTGCCTCAGCAAGTCTCTGAGATTACAAACGAGTGCCACCACACCCAGCCAAAAATTAGGACTTTTATGCTTCTTTTAATATGTATTCTGTGACTACCAAAAGTATGCACCACAGTAACTTACAAACATTCCTTGGGTACTTACTAATTCTTATGTCATTTACCTGCAAGGACAACTTTCTCCTTGAGTGGCCCTGTGTCAGTTATAGGGGTGCTGTGTGTCAAAGGGCGGGCAGGAAGTGCTGCTAGAGTTCACACAGGAGAGAAAGAACAAGTCAGACATAGACTGATTAAGTGGAATTAGAGATCAGATCAACTCCCCTCTGTTTAGAGGGAGCCATCTCAGAAATGCAAAGCTGCCTGGGGCTACAAAGGCTCAGCTGGTAAAGGAACTCAACTTCCTGAGTCCCTGTCCTTGGAGATCTGTACTGTTATATCCTCCTCACCAAAGTGGGACAAGCAAAAGCTAGTGTGTTCTTTAACAGAAAAAATAGGAGGGTGGCTGGAGTTGTAGCTCAGTGGCAGAGGACTTGACTACTTGCACTGGGTTCGATCCTCAGCACCACATAAAAATTAATGGATATTGTGTCCATCTACAACTAAAATGTATATTTCTTATACACACACACACACACACACATATATATATATATACACACACATATACATACATATGGCTAATTTTTAAAAAATAGAAGGATTTTTAGAAGCCATCCAGGCTGAGGTTCTTGTTGACTGATAATTTTGGGAAAAGCCCTGGAGTCCACCTTCCTCCACCACAACCCACCTGAGAGCACCTGCAATGGTCAGAAGCTAAGCCTCTGGAATAACTCATTACTTAGGATAGGCCAAGGACAGTTTCTTTTTCTTTTTTCTTTTTTTTGGGGGGGGTGCTGGGGATTGAACCCAGGGCCTTGTGCATCTGAGGCAAGCACTGTACCAACTGAGCTATATCCCCAGCCCTGTGAATAAAAGCTGAGGAGGGTGAAACAACCAAAACACAAAGTACATCCTCTGAATCCTCATCATTTGTGGGGAAAACTGGCAAAAATTCAGTTGGTCTGGGACATGCCCACCCTTTCTTTCCACTCTCTGGGCTGTCCCCAACTCTCCCCGCCAAAAAATGTCTTACTACTCCCACTGAACCTGCACTCTGAAATAAGCTAAAGTTCACTGGCAGATAACCTGCCAAAAGCTTCCATTATCTTCAAACCCAATTTGCCTTACACTCACAGCCATTTAGGAAAAAAAATAAGGCTTTCTAATCCAGAGACAAAGTATCTGAAGCCAAAAAAATTCTTTCCCCTGAAATTATGAATTCCACATTATGGCAAGGCCTATTTACTTCCCCCCCAAAAAACCACTGTCTTAAGAAACAGCAAAGTACATGGGAGATTTCCCCATCTTAATTTACTGGACTCATCTATCCTGTGAGTTCTGATAAAGGCCCTCGTGGAACCTGGCCTGGAGCTAACCACCTTGTTACTGGCCTCTTCAGAATCAGATCATCCTGTCCCCTAGACTTCTTCCTTCAGAGCACACCCAGGCCACTGCTGCCAGCCCTCACACACCCTCACTCCTCTTCTCAACCTCTCGAGCAGGCATCTGAGCACGTGGCTGCTTCTCCATTTGCTCCCGGAACTGCCGCTGCAGCTGCTGCTGCCGGAGCTTCCGCTGGTATGTGGCATCACTCTCGGAGGTGCAGGGTGTCGGGCTTCTGCATCTGAAGATCAAGAAGGTAGTTAACCAAATTACTAACAAATACACAGGTCTTCAGGAGGCACACAAACCAACTTGCTGCTTCTGAAAGCAGAAATGGCAGCAACCTTAGCCACAGAGAGGGCAGAAGAGGAAAAGGACAGAATCTGGGTTCCTACCGGGAACTGCTGGCCTTGTCCCCCTGTAGCACAATGTGGGGATCATCCAAGTGGCTTGGTCTGCATGGAGAGGTCACCTTCTGTGGTTCTGAAGGTCCCACAGCCCTATTCAGTAGACAGCTGTTATATCTTGCCTGTTCCACAGATGGTTCAAAATCTTGTCTCTTTGCTTTAGTTAAATCCACTTCATGAGGCAACTAACAAGGGGAGAAAGGAGAAAAAAAAATTTGCTCAAATTGCTTACCCGTTTCTCTTCCATGCTTCATAGCCTAGGACTCCCAGAAAACAGCATTTGCCAGTCACCTATCCATCATTCTTCCTAGGTCCTAAAAGGCTGAGAAAAAAGATCCACAACTTCCAAATCATTTTGTTTTCAGACAGGGTCTTGCTGTTGCCCAGTCTGGCCTCAAACTGCTGGGCTCAAGCCATCCTCCTGCCTTAGCTGCGACCACAGTTCATTCTTCCACATGTCACAACCACATGTGGAAGAGTGAACAATTTTACTTTTTATTTTATAATTTTCTATATTAATGATCTTTTTATAAAAAAGAACCCTTCTTTGTTTTTGACTCAGGGCAACAGTCTGTATAATCTAATTTGAATCTCTCCTTGGCAGCTGACCTGTCTTATGCTGCCCCTTTGTCCATTTTTTCAGAGAAGTGATGACACATAGTCTTTGAGGAGACCTGTATCTTCTCAGCCCTCCCAACCAGCAGTGCTCCCTACAAATACAATATTCATCACTAAAGAAGTTGAAGGTATGATGTAGTACAACTAAAACATTTTGGTACTGGGGATTGAATCCGGGTGTACTTAACCACTGAGCCACATCCCCACCCTTTCTTTTTTTTATTTTTGAGACAGGTGATGTTGGCCTAGAACTTCCAAACCTCCTGCCTCAGCCTCTTGAGTCTCTGGGATTATAGACATGTACCACCATCCCCAGTGAGAACATATCTTTCAATTCATAAAATTGATGCTGATGAATTATTATTTGAATACAAGAAATTAAAATGACTATATTTTAATAATTATAACACGAAAATGAAAATTATAGTTTGGATTTCTTATCTACATTTTTAACCTGAGAAGATTAAAAAGACAGCAATGCCAGGCACGGTGGCACACGCCTATAATCCCAGCATCTTGGAAGGCTGAGATAGGAGGATGGAGAGTTCAAAGCCAGCCTCAGCAATTTACCAAGGCCAAGCAACTCAGTGAGACCCTGTCTCTAAATAAAATACAAAATAGGGCTGGGGATGTGGCTCAGTGGTTAAGTGGCCCTGATTTCAATCCTAAGTACCAAAAAAAAAAAAAAAAAAGACAGCATGAAATTTAATATTAAGGGAGATAAAATATATTTAATATGTCTAAATGTTTATTTTTTAGGTGTTTCAATTATCTACTTAAACTTTTATTTATAAGTCATAATAATTCAAGTTGCTGTTTAAAAGGAAAAAAAAGCTAAAAAAAAAAAAGGGAAAAAGACTAGCAATACCAAGTAATGTTCAGGTTATGAAACAATTAGAGCTCTTAATAACGCTATGTGGAAGTGCAAATTCATACAATCATACTGGAAAAGTAGAAGAACCTATTAAAACTAAGTATCTTCTGAACTAGTAAGTCCTAAGCAAAATGAGTACAATTGAGTTCCAGTAGACACACACAAGAGTGCTAAAAGGAGCTCTATTCAAAATAGCCAAAAGCTACAAAAAACCCACATGTCCATTAAAGACAGAATGGAAAAACAAATTATCATATATTCTTACAATAGAAAATTATACATCAATGAAATGCTGCATGCACCATGAATGAATCTCACAGAATGCAGGAAAGCCAGATAGAAGAGTTCTGACAATATGATTACAGAGAGTACCTAACAATCAAACAAATCTATTAAAAGTGGTTCTCCATGGCAGGCCGGGGATGTAGCTCAGTAGTACAGAGCTTGCCTAGCATATGTGAGGTCCTGGGTTCCTCCCCAGCACTGCCAAAAGACACCAAAAACAAACAAACAAACAAAACAACAGTGGCTTTCCTTGGTAGTGACTGCAAGGAATAAAAATGAGACTTCTCCAATACTAGTCATGTTGTGTCCTGATCCAGAGGCTGTTACGTGGATGTGTTTGGTTTTAAAATCCATCAAGTTGAACACCGATATTATGTGCACTTGTCTCCATGTAATGTATACTTTTTAATACTTCAATCCATTCTTTAAGAAATATAAAATTCAAAACCAGGAAAAAATATAAGTCTGGAAGACAGAGAAGTCAAGACAGTGGTTACTACTAAAAAGATAAAGGTTAAGTTGTGACAAGGGTGTATATAAATGGCTTCTGGAGAGCTAGTACAGTTCTTTTTCTGGGAGGTAAGAAGCTGTGTTCCTTTAGGAAAATTCATCAAGTTGTGCTAATATGATTTGTTCAGTTGTCTGTATATTGCACCTCATTTTAAAAATTCATTAAAAACAGAAGAAATATAAGTGGCATTGACAAGATGACAGAGTGGGAGCCCTTTTTCTCCCATAGAGAAACCTAACAATATGTGGACCAGAATACCTTAGTGAGAACTTTAGAGCTAGTGGAGAAGCCACACCACCTACACCAATAAAAGTGTGACGGCATTCCAGCAAGAGGGGTAAGATCATGTGCTGCATGATGCACACTCATCCAGCCACTATCCCACCCTGAGCAGAGTGGTACAGCTGGGAGGAAACCTCCCCTGCTAGGGAGCTTCCGTCAGGATGGAAAACGAAGAATGGACCACATATCCAGTATTCTGGTTTGTCTGTGAGCTGCCTGAGGCACCATTTTCTATCCTGTTACCCAGAGCACTAATAGACTTATGCAGCAGAATTTGGAAGGGACTAAAACAGGTAGATACCATAACATTTTAGAGCTGCAAGCAGATATCATGAGGGGCAAAAGATATGAAAGCTCTGAAAAATCCCAGAACCCCTGGCCAGCCCCTGTGGTAAAGGTCTTGTCTTCCACCCCACAAGCCAGGACATAAACACTGGAAAGATGGATGGTTTTTCAAATACTTGGATCTCAAAAAAGATCACAAGACATATAGAAGCAAGGAAACAAAACCCAATCAAAGAAACAAAATAAAACTCCAGAAACCCCAAAGTTCTCTAGCAACTCCAGGAAATCCATCACAGATCACCAGTCACATTGGTGCAGTCTATAATGTGGGAGGCAGAGACAGGAGGATGACAAGTTTGAGGCCAACTTGGGTAGCTTAACAAGGTCCAGTCTCAAAACATAAAAAGGGATAGGGATATAACCCATTGGTTGAGCACCTCAGGGTTCCATTCCCAGTACTGCTAAAAAAAATTTAAATCAATAAATATATACATATATATTACATATATATTTTATGTGTAAAATATATATAATATATGTAAAATTTAAAATGGCAAAGGACCTAAATATTACCTAACATGATATAATGATATACAAATGGCCAATAAGTTTATGAAAGCATATTAAATATCACTAATTATCAGGAATATGCAAAGCAAAACCACAATAAAATATCACTTCCTGCCCAATAGGACTGCTAGTATTTAAAAAAAAAAAAAAAAAGGAAGAGGAAAACAGCAAGGATAAATCAGAACTATTACATGATATTAAGTAGAACTGTAAAATTGTGCAACTACTGTAGAAATCTGTATGACAGTTCCTCAATAATTAAAAAATAGAACTTCCGTAGAATCCAGCAATGCCACTTCTGAGTATATGTCCAAAAAAACTGAAAGCAGAATTGCCAAGGGTTTTTACACATCTATAATCATAGCAATATTATTCACAATAGCCAAGAAGTAGAAGTAGACCAAATGCCCATCGACAGATGGTGGATAAATGAAACATGGAAATATACACATACAATAGAATATGATTCAGCTTTGAAAAAGAAGAAAATTCTGATGCCTGCTACCATATGGATAAATATTGAGGCATTAATACTAAGTGAAATAAGCCAATCACTAAAAAATAAAAACTGTATGTGACTCCTCTTATGTGAAGTATCCATAAGAGTCAAACTCAGAGACAGAAAGTAGAATGGCAGCCAGGTGCAGTGGCTTTATTCCCAGCAGCTCAGGAGGCTGAGGCAGGAGGATCACAAGTTCAAAGGCAGCCTCAGCAGCTTTGCAAGGCCCTCTCTCAAAATTTCAAGAAATTAAAAAAGAGCCAGGGATATAGTTCAGTGGTTGATTGCCCCTACAGAGGTTGATGCCCCTGGGGGGTTATTTCATGGGAACAGAGTTTCTGTTTTTCAAGATGAAAAACTACAGAGATCAGTTTCACAACAATGTGAATAAACTTAACACTACTCAACTGTATACTAAAAATGGTTAAGATGGTAAATTTTATGTGCTTTTATGCCACAATAAAAAAGTAAATTGTAGACTAATATCTTTTGTAAACAATACAAAAATCCTTAACAAAATATTGCATCTAATGTTTAAAAATGATTTTAAAAATAGATTATGGAGTTCTGACAGAGGCCAACTGACCTCTACTAGGGGCTCCAGGGAATGTTGGTCTGGTGGCAGCATGGCAGGGACCACAGGGCAGAGAAGGCCACAGAGAAAGCAGCGATTCGCCACCAAGCAAGGAAGAACACCCCAAAGGTTAACTCATTGAGGCTCTTGAGTGACTCCAGGGATCCTGCAATGCAGATCCCCTACTCCTAAGGCAGATGATAGATACTTAGAGAAAGAATGGAGACCTGGGGTTGGGGTTGTGGCTCAGTGGTAGAGCGCTTGCCTAGCATGTGTAAGGCACTGGGTTCAATTCTCAGCACCACATAAAAATAAATAAAATACAGGTACTGTGTCCAACTACAACTAAAAAATAATCTTAAAAAAATAAAAAGGAAAAAAAAAGCCTGGGGTTGTGGGCAGAGGTAGAGCGCTCACCTAGCATTCGTGAGGCACTGGGTTCAAAACTCAGCACCACATAAAAATAAAATGGAGATATTGTGTCCACCTATAACTAAAACATAATTTTTTTAAAAAAAAAAGGACCATCAACAACTAATAAAAATATTTTTTAAAAAAAAGGAGATCTGCACCTTAAACACACCAGAGCTAAGGGAAAGAAAGAAGGCTGAGCTTCTCTGGGAAGTGACAATGGGCAGAAAAGAACTATGTGCTCATTCTAAGGACTCAGACCATTCCCACCACAGTTCTCTTTACATGAGACAGGTAATGGAAATTCTCTTGACCTCAATTTCTTCACCTATAAAATGAAGTGACTGATTCCTGACAGCAATAACATTGCTGAAATAAACATTCAAGACTATGTAAATACCTAAATCCTCATTTCTCCCTCCATCCCCCAAACATTCAACCCACAACACAAGAGAACCTGTTGTATTATCTTACCCTTCCATCCAGCCACTCTAACATACCTGGCGTGGAAGCTTATTTAATGACCTCAGATAGTCTTTGTCCAGAATACAATTTCCAAGCGCATTCCCAAAACTCCTAAAGGGAAGGGGAAAAAAGCAAAACAGGATTGTTACATGTAATTTCAGAGTTAAAACTGTACACAAATCGCTTCTCAATTGTATTAGAGGAAATGGATTCTAATATATACTCAATAAATGGTTTCTGAACAGGCCACATTTGCATACTTGGAGCAGGTTCTGAGAATACAGCAGTGAGTATAACACACAAATCCCTTGAAGAGAGACGGTGAGTATGAAAAGACTAAGAAACCACTCATAAAACCTATGCCTTAAAAGGCTTGATTCCTAGAGTGGTGGTATTAGGAGGTGATGAAATCTTTACAAGTTGGAGCCTATTGGGAGGTTTAAGGTCATTAAAGATTCATCCTCAAAGGGGATTGTGGGGCACTTGTCTCTTCTGTATCTGTTTTTTCACTTCCCCTCCAAAAAGTGAATAGGTTGTTCTACTATGCAGTCCCTTCCATGATGTGTTGCTTCACCACAGGCCCAAAAGTGACAGGGTCAACTGCTACCTGGATTGAAACTCTAAAACCTTAAGCCAAAACAAACCTTTTCCCTCTATAAATTGATTTATCTCAAGTATTTGTTACAGTAACAGCAAGCTGACTAGCACAGCACTCATGGCTAAAAGTTACCATGACATGTTCCTGGGGTGGCAAGGACAAAAAAAGAGAATACAGTATTCTACCATTCTCCAACATGGAAGACCTCAGCAAAAACACTGAGGAAACACAAACCAAAATGAGAAAATAGGATAAACAGCCACAAGGGTAGGAGTAAGATTTATCTTTTCATGTTATTTAGATTTTTGGCCCATGTGAACATGTTACTTTTCCAGGAAACTGCTCTTAAACAAGAGCTAAAATAAGGTCAGTTAGACTCCAACCCCTTCTGCTTACCTGAGTGCTCGCTTTAGCCCATCCGTCACTGCCTCCTTCCTGGCCTTCTCCAAAGACAAGGCCTTTGACTTGAGGCCCTCACTAACACCATAACCCACATCTTCATGATATGAACCATCCTGGGGGTGAAAAAGGAGTTCAAACTCTAATATAAAAAGCTGTAGTCCTGTATATGACTGCCTAGCTCTTCTTTTTCTCAAGCAGCAGTGTTCAAACTATGCATATGGAACCCTTGCTGAAGTAGACAGGGCACAGATAGTTCTAAGACATCAATTTCCAGAACTGTTTCCTAGACTGGAAGTGCCTGGAAATGTTAAGGCATCAAGATGATTCTCCCTTCCAAAGCCCGTTACATAAGAAAGCATATTCCTAACCCATCCCAAATCTTTCTAAGTTTCATTACCCTGAAGTATAAAAACTCTGGAATTGTCAAGTGAAAGAATAATTTGAAATTTCATACCTAATGTAATGAGCTCTGATTTAATAGCAAATCTTTTTTTTTTTAATATAAGTCAGGTATATCCGTTTCTTGGCTTTTGTCAACAGAAATATAATGCTTAATGACAACACTCTGATTTTCTAAAAATAAATCAAAAAGCACTCAAAGAAATGAGAGACACTATAATAAAATTCCTTCAATTCCCAACTACTTATTTGTGTGAACAAGGTTTATTAGTACTTTTTATAAAAATTAATGGTCAGAATATACGTAATGATGAACACTCATTCAAGAAATCAGTAATGGGGATGGGGCTGTAACTCAGTGGCAGAGCACTTGTCTAGCACATGTGAAACACTGTGTTCAATCCTTAGCACCACATGAAAAATAAACAATAGGGGCTGGGGATATAGCTCAGTTGGTACAGTACTTTCCTCACAAGCACAAGGCCCTGGGTTCGATCCCCACCACCACAAAAATTAAAAACAATAATAATAATAAACAATTAAAAAAAAAAGGCATGCTGTCCACCTACAACTACAAGAAAAAAAAAAAAAAGGAAGAAAGAAAGAAATCAGTAATGCCAGGCACAGTGGCACACGCCTGTAATCCCAGTGACTCGGGAGGCTGAGGCAGGAGGATCACAATTTCAAGGCCATCCTAGGCAACTTAGACTCTGTCTCAAAATAAAACAAAACAAGCATTGGGATATACCTGAGTGAAAGAATGTTTGCCTAATATGTGTGAGATCTTGGGTCTAATCCCCAGTACTATTAAAAAAAAAAAAGTAATATTCAACCATGGTTCTAACTAACTGAAAAATTTTAAAAGCACCATCCATCTTGTTAAGATAGACATTTTCTGTATAAGTTTATTATGTCTTTTTATTAAAATTTTGATATTTACATTGTCTTTTCAACATAAATACCATTGTCTGATGAATTGTCTTAACAATAACTAATAACCTGATCCAGAAGAAATGTTTAATATTTTAAAGCCATAGGTCACTGAAAATTTTTTAAAATATATATTTTTATACATATATACATGTGTACCAACACCCATAGCACACAGAGGCAAAGAAGTATAATACAATTATCATTAACCTTTCAACCATAAATATATAATAGATAAATCTCAATGGGGGAAACAATGAAAATATGAGTTCAAACAAAGAAGGAACAATGTAAGATTTCTGCTGATTAAAGAAATCTTTATGCTTTATGCTGGGCATGGTGGCACACACCTGTAATCCCAGCTACTTGGGAGGCTGAGGTAGAAGGATTGAAAGTTTTAGTGAGACTCTATGTCATAAAAATAAATTAATTAATTAAAAGAGCTGGGCTGGGGCTCAGTGGTACAGTATGTACTTGACTAGTATGTGTCAGGCTCTGGATTTGATCTCCAGCACTAAAAAAAAAAAAAAAAAAGCCAGCTTGCACATGTATTTTTTCAAATAAATGATGGCATTCAATCCCCTATGGTATTTAGATTCCACTGTTAGGTTTAAAAAGATGTAACAGCCAGGCATGGTGAAGGTACAGTAAAACATGCCTGTAGTCCCCATGACTCAGGAGGCTGATACAGGAGAATCCCAAGTTCCAGGGCCAGCCTTGGCAACTCAGAGAGATCCTGTTTCAAAACACAGATTTTCAAAAGTGCTGGCAATGTAGGTCAGTGGTACAAGGCACCTGGATTCAGTCCCGGGTACCGAAAAAATAAATAAATATAATTAAAATAGAAAAAAAAGATGTGACAGTTTTATTTTAAAATGTCAAATTTTAGAATATGCCAGAAGCCTACCTTTTGTAACTACTTATACTTCAGAGTTCCAAAAACTCTGAAGAGTCAACTTAAGCTGAAAATGGTAGCACACACCTGTAACCTCAGCTACTTGAGAGGTAGCCTCAGCAACTACAGAGATCCTATTTCAAAATTTAAAAAATAAAAAATAATACCAGTTGGGATGTAGCTCGTGGCAGAGCCCCACTGGGTTCAATCCCCAGTACAGCAAAAAAGAAAAAAAAAAGTTCTCAACCTAAAAATGTACAAGAAGACAGGACAGTTTTTCTTTTCTTTTGAGGGGGTGGATTTTCAAAATTCTTCTGGCAGGGTTTGGGGTTGTGGCTCAGTGGTAGGGTGCTTGCCTAGCACACATGTGAGATACTGGGCTCAATTCTAAACACCACATAAAAATAAAAAAAGAGAATAAAGGTATTGTGTCTATCTACAACTAAAATATGTGTGTGTGTGTGTGTGTGTGTGTGTGTGTGTGTGTATAAATTTATAAATTCTTCTGGGGGACACATTAGTAAAAATTTTGAATACCACCACCCCAGGGACACAACCCTGAGCCTGCTCTTCAGCGTGGCTGTGTATTGGTCCAGACACTTCCCTCCCTACTCACTCTGACTACCTGCCCCCCAATCCTCCCAGGAAGCAGGTCTGCTCCATCACCCTCACCTTTAACTGCACCCTCACAAATGCACAGACTCCCACGTAGAACTTGCCATTGTTCAGGTCAACAAAATCTAGGAGGGGGAAAGAGAACCAGCTGAAGAGGATCCCTGTGACTCACCCATTTTCCTCTTGCTGGCAACCAAATCCACCTGCCTTACCACACCAAAATAAGCAGACAGCACTGCCAGGGAGTATACTCACCCACATTCTGCTGTGTGATGGAGTGCGCCCAGCCATTGTAACCAAACATTTCATTGGCCAGACTAATTACCTTGTGACCTTCAATGTAACACACCTAGAAAAAGTAATTTTAAGGAAAAACTTAGTTAAAATTTCTTGGCTCTGTGTCTTCTATACAGTACCACTGGTCTACATGTCTATTTTGGTGCCAATACCATGCTGTTTTTGTTACTACAGCTCTGTAGTACAGTTTAAGGTTTGGTAATATGATGCCTCCTGCTTCACTGATCTTGCTAAGGACTGCTTTGGCTATCAGTTATCTCATACTAGACAAAGGTGCCCAAAACACACATTGGAGAAAAGATAGCCTCTTCAACAAATGGTGCTAGGAAAACTGGAAATCCACATGCAGCAAAATGAAATAAAACCCCTGTCTCTCACCATGCACAAAACTCTCAATTCAAAGTGGATCAAGGACCTAGGAATTAGACCAGAAACCCTACGTCTAATAGAAGAAAAGTAGGTCAAATCTTCATCATGTCAGATTAAGTCCTGAGTTTCTTTTTTTGTTCTTTTTAAAATACTTTTTTTAGTTGTAGATGGACACAATATCTTTATTTTTTTAAAATATCTTTTTAGTTGTAGTTGAACACAATACCTTCACTTTATTTATTTATTTTTATGTGGTGCTAAGGATCGAACCCAGTGCCTCATATGTGTTAGGCGAGCACTCTACCGCTGAGCCACAACCCCAGCCCACCTTTATTTTTATTTATTTTTTTTTTTTTAAAAGAGAGAGTGAGAGAGGAGAGAGAGAGAGGGAGAGAGAATTTTTAATATTTATTTTTTAGCTCTCGGCGGACACAACATCTTTGTTGGTATGTGGTGCTGAGGATCGAACCCGGGCTGCACGCATGCCAGGCGAGCGCGCTACCGCTTGAGCCACATCCCCAGCCCTATTTATTATTATTTTTTTTTTAATGTGGTTCTGAGGATCGAACCCAGGGCCTCACACATGCAAGGCAAGTGCTCTACCACTATATCCCAGCCCTTAGGTCCTGAGTTCCTTAGCAAGACTCCAAACAATCAATGAGGTAAAGAGAAAGCCTACAGAATGGGAGCAAATTTTTACCATACATTCATTAGATAGAGCACTAATCTCCAGGATATTTAAAGAACTCAAAAACATTAAAACATACATGCAAAAAATAATAATAATAATAATCTAATCAATAAGTGGGCTAAGGAACTGAACAGATACTTCTCAGAAGATAATATACAATTGATCGACAAATATATGAAAAAATGTCCAACATCTCTAGTAATTAGAGAAATGCAAATCAAAACTGCTCCACGATTTCATCTCACTCCAGTCGGAAGGGCAGTTATTAAGAATACAAGAAACAAGTGTTGGCAAGGATATGGGGGAAATGGCACACTCATACATTGCTGGGACTACAAATTGGTGCAACCAATCTGGAAAGCAGTGTGGAGATTCCTTAGAAAACTTGGACTGGAACCACCATTTGACCCATCTATCCCACTCCTTGGTCTATAACCCAAAGGATTTAAAATCAGCGTCTACAGTGACACAGCCACGTCAATGTTTATAGCAACACAATTCACAATAGCTAAACTGTGGAACCAATCTAGATACCCTTCAATAGATAAATGGATAAAGAAACCGTGGTATATAAACACAATAGAATATAACTCAGCAGTAAAAGAGAATAAAATTATGGAATTGGCAGGTAAATGGATGGAGTTGAAGAATACCATGCTAAGCGAGTAAGTCAACCCAAAAAAAACAAAGGCTGAATCTTTTCTCTGATAAGTAGATGCTAATCTATAATGGGGGGAGTATGGGATGAGTGGAGGAACTTTAGATTGGACAAAGCAGGGAAAGGGAGGAGAGGGGGCATGAGGATAAGAAAGATGGTAGAATGAAATGAATATCATTACCCTAGGTTCATGTGTGATTGCACAAATGGTGTGACCCTACTTTGTGTATAATCAGAAGTGAAAAATTGTGCTCCACTTGCTTTTTTTAAATTAACTTATTTATTTTAATTAGGTATATAAGACAGCAGAATGCATTTTGATTCATTGTACACAATTGCAGCACAACTTTACATTTCTACAGTTGTACATGATGTAGCGTCACACCATATGTGCAATCACACATGTACCTAGGATAATGATGTTCATCTCATTCCACCATCTTTCCTGCCCCCATGCATCCTTCCTACCCTCCCTCTCCTTTGCCCAATCAAAGTTCCTCCATTTTTCCCATGCCTCCTCACTCTCCGTTCAGCATCCACTACCCAAAGAGAACATCTATTTGTGTACAATGAATCAAAGAGCATTCTGCTCTCATGTATGACCAATTAAAACAAATAAATTTTAAAAATTAATTTAAAAAAATTTCTTGGCATATTTAATGTAAATAAAAATTTACTTAGTCCTTTTGACTAAACTGTTTAGAGAAATTCTTAATGAATGTATTTCAAAGTCTCTTTCAGTTATAAATAATGGTCTGTCTGAAAGTAGTTACCAGCCTCAGAGGGGAAAGATATCCACTTTCCTAATAGTTTCCAAAACCCACATTTTTCAAAAAGGTACAAATCTCAGTAACATATTTATGGAAGACCAAAAACATACGTGGCAGTTACTATTAGAGGCTGGAGGTGTGGCTCAGTGGTAGAGCAGCTTGCTTGGTATGCAAGAGGCCCTGGGTTTCATCCCAGTACCACAAAAAGAAGAGGAAGAAGAGGAAAAAGAAGAATTAGTAGTAGCAGCAGCAGCAGCAGCAGTAGTAATAATAATACTAGTAGTAATAAAATTAGAGGCAAATGACAAAGGGAACATTTTTTAAGGACTTAATAAAAATCTTAACATGGCAGTTATATGTCTCAAGGCAATGCTTGGGCCACTTCCTATGACAGTGAAGGCTGGAACCCATCCATCCAAAGGCACTAGGAAACATCCAGTAATAGTGAATAAGAACCTTCTGAATCCATGAGGACCCAAAGGTGGTAAGATCGTCCAGGCATGACGCCTCCCCTACCTTCTGGCCTCCTCCAGCCATGCGGCTACTTATATATTCCGGGCCCAGCCTCTGCCTCAGAGCACTCTGGATGGCCTGGTACTCTTCTGCTGTGTACTGGCACTACAATCCAGAAGGGGAAACCAGATTTAACATTTCCACCATTCCTCACATCAGTGAGTCTCTTTTGCAGCACCCTTTCCTCTTAAAAAGTATTGAGCACACAAAGTAAACATAAATCAAAACATCACATGGTACCACATAAATATGTATAATTTTAATGTATTAGTTAAATTTTTTTTAAAAGTACTGAGGATCCCAGAGTTTTTGTTTATGTGGGTTATACCTATTAATATCAGGAATTAACTTTGAGAAACTTTTAAAGGCACACATTTTATTAGCCAAAGCAACGATACCATTACATTATACAGTCTAAAAAACTCCACTGTTCACTCATGAAAGAAGGTATGTGAAAAAGGCAACCAATAATGTTTCATTAATGTTACTATGAAATTAATTTTGACCTCATAAGACTCTGAAAAGGTCCTATGAACCCGCAAGGGTCCCAGAACCAAATTTTGAGAACTAATGAGTTATCAGTTACTGCCACCCTTATTAAACTTTCTCAAGCTTAAATTAGGTTTTTGGGTTTAGAGTTTTTGTTTGTTTGCAGTGCTAGGGATGGAACCCAGGGCTACATACAGGCCAGGCCAGTGCTCTACCACTGAGCTAAACCCTCAGCCCTCTCCAGCTAAATCAAGAAATGAAACTTCCCACCTCAGAGTCTGTATACGTTTAAGCAGGCAAGGAAGTAAGGAAAAGGAAAAGAGAATAGGAAATCTTACCTCCATTTGCACTCTCCACTTGTAGTTTGGGCTTTTTCCTTTATCTTTCTTTCTGTGTGTGTGTGTGTGTGTGTGTGTGTGTGTGTGTGTGTGCCTAGTGCTGGGGATCACCAAGGGCTTTGTTGCGTGAAAGGCAAGCACTCTATCACTGAGCCACATCCCAGCCCCTTTGCCCTATTTAAATAAAATAAATATTTACCAATAAACTCTAGTAAAAAGATAATTTGGGTGGACAAAGAAAGATTCTCTTTTCCATGCATAGAATAAGACATGATTCCAATAATTTTGGATGTCTCCAAGAAAGCCAACTCAGTGACATACAGATAGGAGTAATGCGGAAGTTGAGAGACCTTCCACATACAATCTTTGCTTCATTTTAAATTTTATGTCATATTAATATGACAAAATCTCTATCACATGAATGAATAAATATACATCTAAAGTATGTCTTTTATCTTTCAATGGGAAAATGCCAAAATGTACTCAAAATTCAGCAAAGACCCCTAAGTAGGCCTTCTAAAGGAGAAACCAGGTATGTTGCTCAGTGATAGAACACTTGCCTAGCATAGGCAAGGCCCTGGATTCAATTCCCAGGACAAAAAAGGGGGGGGGGTGCCAATTACAGTAAGAGCTTATGCATACATATCATTTCACTATAACTTTTCTAACTTAACCTCAGTCTATCCACAAATAAAAAAAACACCGTTACCTGTCCAAAGCACAATACAGAGTTGCCACCAGCAGGAAGATGGCTGTCATGTCCTCCATGATTTGTTTCCTCAGTTGCAGACATGTTGATTCTGGTTAGCTTCTATATAAATAAAAGATTAAAAAAAAAAAAAAAAAAGCGGATTTTAAAGAATGCTTAAGATAAAAGGCAAGAAACTCTACTAAAAATCAGATAAAAACCCCATGTATGATATCTCTGAGTTGCTTTATTTATGTGCTTCTAACACTGCTCTAATAAAAGACAAGATTCTTCAGTGATTAGCTGTGATCTGCCAAGCCACTGAAAATCCTTTAGAGTCTGCTTCTACCTTTTTGTTAACATTTTTCTCTTCTAGTGATGCTATTAAAAGTGTTCTTTACAACAGGAATATATTACATTTACAACTGAAAAAATCAGCAGGTGTAGTGGTAGAAGGATCACAAGTTCAAAGCCAGCCTCAGCAATTTAACAAGACCCTAAGCAATTTAGTGAGACCTTATCTCAAAATAAAACATAAAAAGGGTTGGGGATGTGGTTCAGTGGTTAAGTGCCCCGGGGCTTAATCCTTGGTACCAAACCAAAAAAAAGAAAAAATCAAATTTACACAAACACTTTCTAAGGGAATGTAAAAAATCAACTTACTACTGCCTAAAAGGGTAATGTTAGGTGATGGATGTGGTAACCACCTTGATTACTTGTAATCACTTCACAATGTATATCAAATCTTCACATTGTAGCTGACTGTGTGGTGCACACCTGCAGTTCCAGCTCCTCAGGAGGTTGAGGCAGATGGATCACTTGAGCCCAGGGCAACACAAAGGGACTCCATCTCAAAAAAAAGAAAAAAATCACCTTGTATATCTTATCTTTTTATTTGTCAGTAATACTTCAATAAAGCAGGGGGTTGACTCTTTAATGTTATTAAAAAAAAAACAACAACAACAAAAGAATTACCTACTGCCTGGGCAACATGACCCTGATCTCTGGCAGGTGGAAAAAAAATATGAGCCACATGACTGAACTGTTGTTTTCCAGGAGTTTACACACTAGCTGAAGGAAGAAGACTAATTAAAAGGAAAAAACAGAGCCAGGGAATAGGTACAAGCCTATAGTCCCAGCCAGTCAGGAGGCTGAGGCGGGACTGCTTGAGCCCAGAAGTTCAAGACCAGCCTGGGCAACACAGTGAGACTCCACCTCATAAAGAAAAAGAAAGGAAAAAAGATCAAGGGGAGGCAATATATAAGATCCCTGGCATTCAGAAAAAACAGAAATAGCAACAAGCCAGTTTGAACCCTGGACCAGCAGTACTTAGCAACACTTGGGAAAATGCAAATTCTCAGGCTCCATCCCAGACATGCTAAGAAACGCTATGCTTCAGGAATTACTGAAAATGGTTACCTGGGCTTCAAGAAGACTTTCAGGTGATTCTGCTGCAGGTTTAAGTTTAAAAGCCAATGAACTAGACTGAGATTAGGCAAATTAATAAAGTCCACCAGAAAATAGAATTACCCTCAGAAAAGCCATCCATGCTGATTGACCCACTACCCAATGGCCCTACACCTGTTTCAAATGAAATTGTTTCAAAGTTGAGCCTCAGCAAATTTACATACTTTTTTAATTTTTTTTATTTAAAGATGTTGATGAACCTTTATTTTATTCATTTATTTATATATAGTGCTGAGAATGGAACCCAGTGCCTCACATAGGCTAGGCAAGTGTTTTACCACTGAGCCACAATCCCAGCCCCAGAAAATTTACATATTTTAAATCTTCAGATTATTTGCTAATAGAACTACTAACTTGTTGATTGTTGATAGTACACTAATCCATCTGGCTTTATATTAATGTTTAAGAGTTCAAGTTCTAGTGTGGAAACCTCGCTCCACCACACCAGTAGGCACTTGACCAAGGGAAAGTCACACAATCTCTAAATGATATTTCTTCATCTATAAAATGGAGATAATAGTAGTACCTACATGTCCTATAGCTACTGTAAAGAATAAATGTAATACTGCATGAAAGTACATTAGAATAGTGCCTGGCACATAGTAAATACTAAATAAATGTTAGCTAATGATAATTTCATGTTGATTTTCCTTGCATACTTTATAATGAAAATGCACACAATTATTTAAATAATCATAAAATATATTTCAGCTAAAATGATAATTTATAACTTACTAAAAACTAAGATACTGGCCTAAAAACTAAGATAATTAACTAGGTTAGTCAATAATTAGTTTCTACAATTTTTAAAACAAGGAGTGGAGGTCTGGGGTAATGGATACACTAACTACTATTATATGGTCATTACACATTGTATACATGCATCAAATATCACACTGTATCTCATAAATTTCTAGTTATGGGTAAATTAAATTTTTAAATACTTTAAAAGAAAGAGGGAATAAGAATATTGTTTACAATGTCAATATAATAAATGCCACGTTGTCTCAGAGGCCTGGGACTGGGGTGGGGAACAGTATAGGAGGGGTCTCTACAAAATAAAACTTTTGGTAGTATTTCAGTGTTCACATATGTGCATGTATTATTTTAATAAAAAGTTAAAATAGCCAGGCACAGTGGTGCATGCCTGTAATCCCAGCAGCTCAAGAGGCTGAGGCAGGAGGATCTGGAGCTCAAAGCCAGCTTCAGCAAAAGTGAGGTACTAAGGAACTCAGTGAGACCCCATTTCTATGTAAAATACAAAAAATGGGGCTGGGGATATGGCTCAGGGGTGGAGTCCCTGAGTTCAATCCCCAGTACTCCTCCCCCCAAAAATTTTAAATATCTATTCTATAAAGCAGAAGTCAACAAAACTTTTTCTATAGTGGGCCTCACAGTAAATATTTTAGATTTTCTGGCAATATACTCTGTCACAGGTACTCAACTCTGGCATCTTAAGTGTGAAAGCAGCCAGGGCGGGGGATGTGGCTCAAGCAGTAGCGCGCTTGCCTGGCATGCGTGCGGCCCAGGTTCGATCCTCAGCACCACATACAAACAAAAATGCTGTGTCCGCCAAAAACTAAAAAATAAATATTAAAAAATTCTCTCTCTCTTTAAAAAAAAAAAAGAAAGAAAGAAAAGAATCATGTCATAATGCTATATTTAAATATATTTTTTTAAAAAAGTGTGAAAGCAGCCAAAGACAATACATAAATGAATAGGCATGGTTGTATCCTATTAAAATTTTATTTAAAAAAACAAAAGGTAGATTTGCCCATAGGCCATGAGATGCCAACCACTGGTATAAAGCATGCTTCAAAGTGTAGAGTCAGATATGTTAAACAGCCAGCTCCATCAGGTAAGCTATGTAAACTGGGGAATAATTTAACCTTTATCTGCCCCAATTTCATCTGTTAAAGGAAATATTAATAAGACCCTCCTAAGTTGACTGCACTAAAATGATATGATAATAGCTTACAAGAGTAATTTTCTATGGATACTAAATAGTTGTTGGACAAGAGGATAAGCACAAAGTTTCAAATGAACTGTTATCTGTTACAAAGATACACACTTAGTATATGTACTTAATGCCACTGAATTGTGTACTTAAAAATGTTTAAAATGGAAAATTTTATGTTATGCATATTTTACCACAATAAAGGTATAAAATTTATCTCAGTCAGGCCAGGTCTGATGCAGCATAGTAGCCTTGCCCATCTTATAGCTGTGTCATCTAGCATATGTGGCCTCCAAGGTTATCACTGAAGGGGTAGAGAGAGTTGGAGGAGTCACAACAGATCACAGCTGCCAAAGTCCAAAAGTGGCATGGATCTCTTCTGGTCACAGTACACTGCAGAAAACCTGTCACATACAAAGCCCCAACTTAACTGCAATGGAGGCTGGGAAATGTAAGAAAGCATTTGAATATTTGATGAATATTATCTCACAATCCATTGCCGCTCACTTCAAAATGAATCCCAAGAAGACAGGGAATCTTATTCTTCTTTACCAGTGACTAGCAGAGATCCTGGCTCAAGGCAGGGAGTCAAGAAGTGTTTGGTAACAGCTGTTGTCTAAGTAAATGAATGAATGCCTAAATCAATGAAAAAATGCACAATGCAGGATATAAAAAGTACATTTTTAAATTGTTTAAAAACTAATTTTATTTTAAGAGTTACATTTCTCACATTTGAAAAGACAGTTGTTTCTACTTTTCTAAACAATCTTAAAAGATTCATCCTTTTCTTGAAGAAAAATATAATCTTATCCCTACCATAAAGTAAACATGGTATCTTTTCTTTTTTTTGCTAACTTCTTTTACTTCGAAAAAAATTTTGTTTCGCCTTCCTTCCTAAAAGTGTCCATAGCCATTTTCTCATTATAAAATTAAAATATCTTTACTGTAAAAAGGTTTAAAAACTTATCGATGACTACGGGAGAAGGTCAAATTCCAAGGGATCCCACCACCATGTGATAGCTGTTATTTTCTTTTACCTGTGACTGGGTATTGTATGTGTATGTGGGTACATATTTGTTAAATACAAATGGAATCTAAATACATCAGACATTTTTTATGCAAAATCTCAAATCTTCTTTGGCCTTGTCAATTTTGAGGCTATTGTCATGTTCTTCACCCCAGGTGTCATGGACTGACAAAATATATATAGGTCTAACCTCCAGTACACAGGCACAATCCTGCAATCTTTTACTTCCTTCATGCTGGATGCCTCTCACTTCCCACCTTTGGCTTCCCTCTTGCCTTTGAGGAAGCCTATGAGATCCCACCTGATACCCACCTACACACAATTTGGATGCTCCAGGGAGTTAATGTACCATGAAACAAATCTTTCTCCAATGACATACAGAAGCTGAGGGGTAAATTCTCTTGGTGTATTGTCCTGGATTCAGTACTTTATACATCCTCCTGGGAGACAGCTTTAGGAGGTCAAGCAATCAGTTGTACTTGTTACCAAGGGGTGGCCAACTTGGAAATGCACCCCTGAGTTGACTTAAACTTGCTTCTCTCTTCACTCTCCTTTCCCGCCACCTCTGCTTCCTGACAAAATAAGAGCACATAAATTTTTGCCTCAAGCTCGAGATTCTAGGTTATCACAGCAGACACTATAGACACTCAAACTGTCTCTTCAGCTCTTACCACTCTGGCCTGACTTCTAAATGCCAACATCTGCATCTCTTTAACTGAGAGTTTTCCTTGGCATCCACAGCCTATATTTCCCCCATGTTCATGGCAACTTAGAAGTGCCTGAAAGTTGATTCCCCTTGTCAGCAGCCCTCAAACTATGACTGACAGGTACTGGTGTTCAAATAACCTAAGTTTCTTATCCTTTCTGTAGGATGACACTGAGCCATGACCTCTATTAGCTCCAAAGTTCCCCAGTGGAATTGGGTGTGGTTAGAACTGGCTTGATACCTTATCTTTTGCTGACTGTCTTTCTGTTCCTATCTTATGTTCTCTTTCCTCTATCAAGAGTGTGCTGGTGTCATCTTCAAATAAACTACTGTTCTTGCAGGTAAAGAATGAGCGGGGTAAAAGACTCTTTTTTACAATGGAGAAATCTGGCAGACATCACCTCAATTAAGTATTCAAACTTAATGTAACTAATAATAGTCATATCATGTGCTTCCGGGTACATTCTCTGAAAGGTCACATCACTTAGACATCAATCTAATTCACAGCTCTACCAATCTAATCTCTCAATCAGAAAATAATTAAACATGCTAAGGATGTAGCTCAGTGGTAGAGGGCTTAAGTTCAATTCCCAGGACTGGGGGGAAAAAAAAAAAAAAGGACATGGATGACATGTCAACAGAGCAGTGCGGTATAAATTTCATATGGTACTGACATAAGGATTAACCAATAGGACAAAAGAGAGCCCAGAAATTAAGCACCATTTAAACTGTCATCTTAACTTCAAAAATGCAATATAACAGCATTTTTGATAAGTGCTGCTAGAATAACTAAACATCTGTAAAGAAAAATTTTAACGTTGTCATACCCCATAATATTCACAAAACCTACTGATGGCTCATATATCTAAACATAAAAGCTAAAACTATAATTTTAAAAGAATATATTCACAAACTGAAAGTGGTCAAGATTTCTTAGAAAACAAAAAGCTGTAACTATAAAAGAAAAGCAGGTTGCAGGTTAGCTTGGTAGCAGAGCTTGTGCATAGCATGCATGAGGCCCTGGGTTCATCCCTAGCACCCAGAAAAAAAAGAAAGAAAAAAATAAATTGACTACACCAAAATGTAAAACTTCTGTTTATCTAAGAAAATGGGTAGATAACTACTAACAAAGGACTGATATAAAGAATTCTAATGACTCAGTTAAAAAAAAAAAAAGACAACCAATTTCAAAGTGAGCAAAAGATTTAGGGGCTGGGATTGTGTCTCAGCAGTAGAGTGTTTGCCTCACATGTACAAGGCCCTGGGTTTGATCCTCAGCACCACATAAAAATAAATAAATAAAATAAGTGTACTGTGTCCAACTACAATAATAATAATAATAATATTTTTTAAAAAATTTAAGTAGGGGCTGGAGATGTGGCTCAAGCGGTAGAGTGCTCGCCTGACATGCATGCGGCTCGATCCTCAGCACCACATACAAAGATGTTGTGTCCGCCAAATACTAAAAAACAAATATTAAAATTCTCTCCCTTTCTCCCTCTCTCTCACTCTTTCTTTAAAAAAAAAAAAAAAAAAGCAGTAACAGGAAAAAAGTGCTGGACATCATTAATAACCAAGGACTAAAATTAAAACCACTTAATGACATCCCACTCTACATTCATCAGAATACTAAAATAGAAAAAGAATTACAACAGAAAAGTTAGCAAAGGATGTGAAGCAATTGGAACTTTCATACACTGCTGACAGCAAATAGACTAATAAAACCATTCTACCTGCTAACACATACTATCCTTCATGAAAAAGGAGGACTCCAAAAAACCAGCCATAGTACCAGAGGGTCAAGTAGCAGATTCTTCACAGGCCTTGAACCCCACTGGTTCTTAATATATCTCAGGTATAAGTCCTTTCTCAGATTGGTGTCTGTTTACCTATTCATTTTCTTAGAGTCGTCTGTGATGAAAAGTTTTAAATTTTGACATAATCAGGGTTGGTTGGTTTGGTTTTTTTAGTGATTACTACTTTAAGCCCTAAGATACCTTTTCATACCACCAAGCCTCAGATCATCGAGATACTTTCTTATACTTACATCTGCCATATGACCCAAGAATTTTAATAGATATTTTCCCAAAAGAAATAAAAATGTGCCCCCCCCCAAAAAAAAAAAAAAAAACTTGTCATAGGAGGAAAAGAGCCTGGACAAGAAAGTGGCTGTGATCAAGAAATGAATGAATTCAAGATATTAAAAAGGTAAACAATTAATATGCACAGGCCCCTGGATTCTATTCCCCAGCACCAAAAAAAAAAAAGGTAAACAAGACTGGGAAAAAAATTGTGCTTTTATTCTTGCCCATTTCCTTATAACTTAAAAGCATTTCTAATTAATTATGGAAAGAGGAAGGAAGAAGTAAAAGGGAACAAGTCATGTTACCAAAAGAAATTTTCCTCTTTTATATTACCTCTTCTCATCTTTATTAAAGACAAAGAAAGGCAGGATCTTGAAGGGTAATAGGAGCCACCATAAAAAAAAAAAAAAACAACTTTATTTTGTCAGTCATGAGTGA